AACCTCCGTGACATGTTCCGCTGGTGCCAGCTCATGGAGAAAGACCAGTCCCCAGGGTCCTTTAACCCTGGACAGCATGTGGCCCTGGTTTATGGAGAACGGATGAGGACGCTCGCTGATAAGGCTCAGGTCATTGTTCTCACTGTTGTGTGGATTCATGTTTTTACAGCTTGCTTCTCATGCGTTTACTCCAACAACATAATATACAACATATAGCAGTGATAAGTTCAGAGGAATCTCTCTCTGGTCTCTCTCTGGTATCTCTCTGGTCTCTCTCTCTGGTATCTCTCTGGTCTCTCCCTCTCTGGTTTCTGTCTGGTCTTTGTCAGGTCTCTGTCTGGTCTGGTCTCTCTCTGGTCTCTCTCTGGTCTCTCTCTGGTCTCTCTCTGGTCTCTCTCTGGTCTGTATCACTCTGGTCTCTCTGGTCTTTGTCTGGTCTCTCTCTGGTCTGTATCACTCTGGTCTCTCTATGGTCTCTCTCTCTGGCCTCTCTCTCTGGTGGTGTCTCTCTACTCTCTCTGGTCTCACCCTGGTCTCTCTCTGGTGTCTCTGTGGTCTCTCTCTCTGGTTTCTCTCTAGTCTTTAGTAATGCAAAGTTATAAAAGCTTAGCATGCTAACAAGACGAGAAGCTAAGCAGGAAGCATGAGCCGATCTGCAAATAAATGCCATCATTGTTCTTGTTTCCAGGTCTTGTCTTTATTCAGAAACGTGTTTGGAGAAGACTCAGATCCATACACCACCTCCAGAGAGTTCCACATGACGCCACTGCACCTTCAGGTTTGTTTATTATTAACCCCACGTCTCTCACCGCTTCCTCCGACATCAGTCCAACCCGTGGCTCTCCTACAGGTGGGATACTCGGTCCTTCAGCGCGGCACTGCAGCCCCAGCCTCTGTGGGCCCCCCTCCTTCCATCACCCACCAGGCTCTGAGGCCCCTGGAGTCCCTGATGAAGTGTGTGGAGATGGGCTGGATGGTCATTCTGGTGGGCCCCGCGGCTTGTGGGAAGACCAGCCTGGTGCGACTGCTGTCTCTGCTGAGCGGGCACAGGCTGAGGGTGATGCCCACGAACAGCTCCATGGACACCACGGAGCTGCTGGGAGGGTTCGAACAGGTCAGGCTCTGTCCTCGGGGCTGAGGGTCCGGAGGACTTTATTCTATTCTCACTGATTTGTTTTGTGGATCGTATATTATTCCACTAAAAACTGAAACCTAGAATAACTTTACTTTGAGTAATTGTGTATTTGTTTTTTTTAAAATAAATATTGGTATTTATTGATGTATTTGATTGGGAAAAGTGTAAACAGTCAACACGTCAAACTCTACAACATTTATAGCCAAGGAGAACAATCATAAATTATGTTTACTGTCATAGATTACTTACTTACTTCTTTGGTCTTATTTAGGACTATTTCTGTTGGGACATTCTCTAATAAGTCTCTAATAAAGTTTGATAGATAGCTGTGAAAGGCCAAAAACACGTGCATGAGACCCAGACCAGCTGTACTAACCATAAGTTATCTAATGGGATTTTTTAACTGGGTTTATTCGAGCTTTGGGCCCCAGTATGGCAAAAATAGATTGTAGGGGAGGTAATGGAAGATTCATAAAATATTTGTGATATGAACATGTTTTTAGAGCTACATCTGACAACGACTGAATAAACTTCTTGTGATTATATGTTGCTCTGTCATTGAGCTAGTTTTCTGTCTGAAGGTGGACATCATGAGGCCTTGGCAACAGCTGCTGGAGCTGGTGGACGGTGCTGTTGCTCAGGTCACGAGATGGGGGCTGACTGCTCCGGAGGGGGGGCTGCAGGACACGGAGTTCCTGCTTCGAGCTTGGGGGCTGTTCTGTGATTGGCTGAAGGCAGAGGGTCCACAGAACGCCGGGAACACGGTCACTTTGGACGCGCTCGACAAACTGGAGGTCATCATCGTTTTGCTCCAGAAACTCAGCATCAAACTCAAAGTCCTCACAGGTGACGCCGCTAACACCAAGACTCACACAACTCTGACACGACTGGAACTCTGAGCCGTCATTTTGACTGCTCCCATTAAAAACATTGGAAGATTTATTAAAAGTACCATAAGTCATTTACAAGGTATTGACCTTTACTGACTTTTAACTTAGTGCTAAAACTGGTGAGAATAAACGGTGTATTACTATGGTAACTAGTGCTGGTAAAGGCTGTATTACTATGGTTACTAGTGCTGGTAAAGGCTGTATTACTATGGTAACTAGTGCTGGTAAAGGCTGTATTACTATGGTAACTAGTGCTGGTAAAGGCTGTATTACTATGGTAACTAGTGCTGGTAAAGGCTGTATTACTATGGTAACTAGTACTGGTAAACGCTGTATTACTATGGTAACTAGTACTGGTAAAGGCTGTATTACTATGGTAACTAGTGCTGGTAAACGCTGTATTACTATGGTAACTAGGGCTGGTAAACGCTGTATTACTATGGTAACTAGTGCTGGTAAATGCTGTATTACTATGGTAACTAGTGCTGGTAAACGCTGTATTACTATGGTAACTAGTGCTGGTAAACGCTGTATTACTATGGTAACTAGTGCTGGTAAACGCTGTACAACTATGGTAACTAGTGCTGGTAAAGGCTGTATTACTATGGTAACTAGTGCTGGTAAAGGCTGTATTACTATGGTAACTAGTGCTGGTAAAGGCTGTATTACTATGGTAACTAGTGCTGGTAAAGGCTGTATTACTATGGTAACTAGTGCTGGTAAACGCTGTATAACTATGGTAACTAGTACTGGTAAAGGCTGTATTACTATGGTAACTAGTGCTGGTAAACGCTGTATTACTATGGTAACTAGTGCTGGTAAACGCTGTATTACTATGGTAACTAGTGCTGGTAAACGCTGTATTACTATGGTAACTAGTGCTGGTAAACGCTGTATTACTATGGTAACTAGTGCTGGTAAACGCTGTATTACTATGGTAACTAGTGCTGGTAAAGGCTGTATTTCTATGGTAACTAGTGCTGGTAAAGGCTGTATTACTATGGTAACTAGTACTGGTAAACGCTGTATAACTATGGTAACTAGTACTGGTAAAGGCTGTATTACTATGGTAACTAGTGCTGGTAAACGCTGTATTACTATGGTAACTAGTGCTGGTAAACGCTGTATTACTATGGTAACTAGTGCTGGTAAACGCTGTATTACTATGGTAACTAGTGCTGGTAAACGCTGTATTACTATGGTAACTAGTGCTGATAAATGCTGTATTACTATGGTAACTAGTGCTGGTAAACGCTGTATTACTATGGTAACTAGTGCTGGTAAACGCTGTATTACTATGGTAACTAATACTTTACTAATACATTTCAATAATAAAAGATATATACAATTATTGACATGGAAATAAAATAGATATAGAAACATAAATATAATTGATTAATTACAGTTCCAAAATGAAAACCCGTCAAATTGACTGCTCTGAGAGTCCTCGTGTTAAGCAGTGAGCTGAGTGTTTTCTCTGTGTTTGGCGTCAGACGTGTCCCCGCTGCAGACGGACTGTTCGCGGCTGAAGCAGCAGGTGTCGCGGCTGGAGGAAGGCGGCTCGAGTGGAGGCTTCGAGTGGCACGACGGGATGTTAGTCCAGGCTCTGCAGACCGGAGACTGGCTGCTCATGGACAACGTCAACTTCTGCAGGTGAAGCAACCCTCAAAGACGCTTCATATGGCACACACACACCAGACTCATTCTAATGTGGGGGAAGTGTCTTGCCTAAGGACACGGCCACAGCCGCCCCACTGTGGCACCTGCTGTTCAGAGGTCTCCCATCACCGCACTACCCAGGCCCTGCATGGACATTTCTTTATGAAAATTAAAATATAAACATTATACTCTCCTCATTCCCTGTTTTTTATTGTTTTGTTCAATTACATTCACAAAGGTTCTGGCGACTAAAGAAAGTATATAAATCAGTATTGACATGTGTTCTCATTTTATTTATTTATTTTCTAGTGCGTCGGTTCTGGATCGTCTGAACGCGCTGCTGGAACCTAATGGATCTCTCACCATTAACGAGCGCGGAGCCATCGACGGAAACACGCCTCAAATCTCCCCACATCCCGACTTCAGGTGAGTCTCTGTATTGGCCTGACACATGATGCATCATTGGTCTTTACTCTGATTTAAAGGAGCAGTATGTAAACATGTGGCCAAAAGTGGTACTGCAGCCTCTCCCACTCTCCCTGACTCAGGTTGCCAGATATGCAGACAAATCCAGCTGGGACCATAACAGCTGAATAGACAAGAGTTTTGTCAGCAACAAATCTATAACCAACACCTTTTTCACAAAGATAGGAATCCTGGTTTTATTCCTTGTTTTGTCGTTGATGATTTGAGAATCATAACGAGACCTTTTTTAGTTCTGCGCCACATGGTACTTTACCAGTGAGATTAGCTCCACGCGGTGAGTTCTGGCGCCCGGATCACAGACTTTCTGATTGGTGAAACGGTGGAGGGCGGGACATCGATATGAAAACAATAACAAGATTTAGGGGCTGGAAATTCAAATATCTCTGAACTACTGTTATCAGTTAAAGAAGTATTGGAAAAGAGAATGTTTCATTAAAGTCTTTTGAAAGATTAAGGCCCTTTGATGATAATGAGGACAGATTAGGGCCCTTTAATGATGACAGATTAGGGCCCTTTAATGATGACAGATTAGGGCCCTTTAATGATGACAGATTAGGGCCCTTTAATGATGACAGATTAGGACCCTTTAATGATGACAGATTAGGGCCCTTTAATGAGGAAAGATTAGGGCCCTTTAATGAGGAAAGATTAGGGCCCTTTAATGAGGAAAGATTAGGGCCCTTAAATGATAACAGATTAGGGCCCTTAAATGATAACAGATTAGGGCCCTTTAATGATGACAGATTAGGGCCCTTTAATGAGGAAAGATTAGGGCCCTTTAATGATGACAGATTAGGGCCCTTTAATGATAATGATGACAGGTTAGGGCCCTTTAATGATGACAGGTTAGGGCCCTTTAATGATGACAGGTTAGGGCCCTTTAATGATGACAGGTTAGGGCCCTTTGATGATTACAGATTAGGGCCCTTTAATGATTACAGATTAGGGCCCTTTAATGATAACAGATTAGGGCCCTTGAATGATGATAGATTAGGGCCCTTGAATGATGACAGATTAGGGCCCTTGAATGATGACAGATTAGGGCCCTTGAATGAGGAAAGATTAGGGCCCTTTAATGAGGAAAGATTAGGGCCCTTTAATGAGGAAAGATTAGGGCCCTTTAATGATGACAGATTAGGGCCCTTTAATGATAATGATGACAGGTTAGGGCCCTTTAATGATGACAGATTAGGGCCCTTTAATGAGGAAAGATTAGGGCCCTTTAATGAGGAAAGATTAGGGCCCTTTAATGATGACAGATTAGGGCCCTTTAATGATAATGATGACAGGTTAGGGCCCTTTAATGATGACAGGTTAGGGCCCTTTAATGATGACAGGTTAGGGCCCTTTGATGATGACAGGTTAGGGCCCTTTGATGATGACAGATTAGGGCCCTTTAATGATAACAGATTAGGGCCCTTGAATGATGACAGATTAGGGCCCTTGAATGATGACAGATTAGGGCCCTTGAATGATGACAGATTAGGGCCCTTGAATGAGGAAAGATTAGGGCCCTTTAATGAGGAAAGATTAGGGCCCTTTAATGAGGAAAGATTAGGGCCCTTAAATGATAACAGATTAGGGCCCTTAAATGATAACAGATTAGGGCCCTTTAATGATGACAGATTAGGGCCCTTTAATGTGGAAAGATTAGGGCCCTTTAATGAGGAAATATTAGGGCCCTTTAATGATGACAGATTAGGGCCCTTTAATGATAATGAGGACAGGTTAGGGCCCTTTAATGATGACAGATTAGGGCCCTTTAATGATGACAGTTTAGGGCCCTTTAATGATAATGAGGACAGATTAGGGCCCTTTGATGATTACAGATTAGGGCCCTTGAATGATTACAGATTAGGGCCCTTTAATGATGACAGATTAGGGCCCTTTAATGATGACAGATTAGGGCCCTTTAATGATGACAGATTAGGGCCCTTTAATGAGGACAGATTAGGGCCCTTTAATGAGGACAGATTAGGGCCCTTTAATGAGGACAGATTAGGGCCCTTTAATGATGACAGATTAGGGCCCTTTAATGATGACAGATTAGGGCCCTTTAATGATGACAGATTAGGGCCCTTTAATGATGACAGATTAGGGCCCTTGAATGATGACAGATTAGGGCCCTTTAATGATGACTTGATATGAAAATCTTACATATTGCTCCTTTCAACCTGTGCTCAGGCTGTTCCTCACCATGGACCCGGTGCACGGAGAGCTCTCCCGGGCCATGAGGAACCGTGGGGTGGAAGTGTACCTCCCAGGGGAACCCGACGGCCAGAGCTGGAGCCTTCAGGACGTCAAGACTCTGCTGAGCTCGGCAGGAGTGATGGGAGACAGTGTGTGTGACCTCCTCATTCAGATACACAACAGCATCAAGGAGAACATATGGGGTGAGGCTAACGTCATTTGTCTTCTTTGAATATACTGTACATAGATATTTTATTCTTACCCGTAGCAGAAACACATCCATCTATACAAAAACATAACATTATTCTAAAAGTTACTAACAATAGGAGGCAGCAGTAGAGGTGGTGTCACGGCTGGGGATGACCTGCTTCTTCTCCTCTGGTTGATGTTTGCTTGGTTCACCATTTTTCTCTGCTCTCGAGTGAAATGCTTAATGCTTTATTAGAATTTTTCAAAAGAAATTAGGCATTCCTCCAGTGTTTGGGACCGTACATCCTCTCTGCTCTGGTCTGGATCAGTGTAAATGTAAATCAATGTACTGCACTAACATTTACAGCTATAAAAAAGCCAGAATAAAGGACTTGCTGCCTTAACTAACCTAGCCTGGTCCTACCACACAACCATACTGATTTCATTTCATACTACGGTCTGGATTTGCTGCATTGACTCTGTTAACCCCTCCCCCACCTGTTAACTCCTTTTGCAGATTGAAATGATTGTAAAGTATGTAAGGCGTCCGATTGAGTGAGGCATTTAGCATAGCTTTAGCATTTAGCTTTTAGCCTCGCTTTAGCATTGCCAGCGATTACATTTGCTAAACGTTCCTCTTGCTCCAGCTTCAATTTATTGAACCAGAACAGATTATTTTACTATCGCATTCTCCGCCAACCTGCAATTTCAGCACAAACTCTTGACGTCACCCACATCTAACTAAAACACCCAGCTCGTGCTCTCGCTGATTGGTCGTATGGGATTCAACCAACGTAATTGTAGACACTGGGACTAAACTCAGACGGTAAATCCAGGGAAATGATAATTGCCCTGAGTTTACAAATGACTAAGGCGAGGCTATTACTAACCCTACACTGCAAAAAATGATCAAATATGAGATCATAATTACTAGAATCGAGTTTTTTTTTACTTGACTTAAGTTCATTCTGACTGTCTTAAAATGAGATTTGCCAATGAGACAAGCAATTTTGACTTGATTCAAGAACTATTGCTTTATTTTCTCATTCCAAGAGAGAAATATCTTGTATCTTTTTAAAACAAGATCATTTTTCTTGTTCCACTGGAAAATCTTGTTTTAAGGCAGTCAAAATGTGCTCAAATTTAGATACATTTAGCCAAATTTGAGCATTTTTTTGTCTTTAATTCTGTCATCTTTTGCAGTGCAAATTTTTATGTGAGGAGGCTTGTTACTACCTGTTGGTGTAACATGTGTGGTGTGTCTCAGATTCTCCGTCCTCGTCTCCGTCCTCGCTCCTCCACGCCGCCGGTCTGCTGTCGGCTCAGCTGCAGAGAGGTGTGGACCTGCCCTCTGCCCTGTCTCAGGCCTGTGCTGAGGCCTTCTCTCTGAGCCAACACACCACTGTCAATCAAAAGGTAATTCTGTTGTATGGCTCCCAAGCATGAGCCCAAACCCTAATAATGGGTTTCTTTGGAGAGGGGGGGGGTGACCTCAGACTCGTCAATCACAGAGAAGAGTGTGTTTGTCTGCTCGATCGCTCTGAAACGGTGGATTATTTGTCTATTAGTTTAAAAAGCTGATCAAAAAGGAAGTGCTGAAGTATTTGGAGGAGTGAGGACTTCAGTACAGAATAGTGGGAGAGAGGTGTGTGGTCAGAGAGTGTTTGGGCCTGTGCACTTGTGTGTGTGTGCGCTTGTGTGTGTGTGTGTGTGTGCGCTTGTGTGTGTGTGCGTGTAGTTGGTTGAATGAGTGAGAGGTTGGAGCCAAATAAGTGTGTGCTTCGTCCAGTCTCTTTTTCAAACGGTTTATATCTGTTAATTTTGTGTCTTGTTTTTATTCTGTATCTTGTCTATTGTTTTTAGCTCTAAATATAATTCTTACTACTATTACTACCGTGGAGACTTATATTGTTTTCTCTCGAAGATAGTTATATAAAACATGCTTTCTAGTTTTAGACATACAGCATCCCCCCCCCCCCCACCTGGGCCTTAGAACAGACACATACAACACACACATTTTAATAATTGTTTTGGTTTTCCAGCTTGCCTTGGAGCTGATAGAGCAACACCTGACTTCCCTGAACTCTGGGCCCTGGGGACAAACGTTGATGTCTGCAGGAGTGTGGCCCGACAGCCTGCCCTCTGCCCTTCTCTGCACCGAAGACTCAGGATTTGCTTCGGTCTTACGGGACGGACAAGTGCTGTTATTCTGTCTGAATGCACTTAGCCTGCAGGGTAAAAGGTGAGCAACGGGAAAGTCTAATAAAAGTGGCAAAAAGTGACACATGTGAGAGGAATGAGGCTGTGAATGTTTGTGTGTCAGAACTCGTCCGCTGAGTGTGAGAGACCTGCAGCGTACGTTACTGGCCGGGACCGGGGGGAGTCTGCAGGTCTTTGATGAAGCCGCAGACCCAGACCTTGGTCCTCGTGCCCTGATCCCGACAGCTCTCAGACTGATCGTGGAAAGGGCGTCTCACGGGGACTGGCCTCTTCGCTGCAGCTTATTGACTCATCTCGTCGGCAGCTACAAGCTCGTCCCGGGTGGGTCCCTCTGCTCCTGTCACACTTTTATAACTCTCTGCGCAGGCAAAACATGGATTTTAGTTTTAGAACAGTAAGTGTATGTACAGAGACTTAGACGGGAGCATTGTGAAGGCCAGATTCAACATATCTTTTTAGTCTCAATGACTTCGTGACTTTTTCCTGTATCTATATGTAGTTTATTTCTGTCGTTATCTTTAAGAAATTATCGTATTATTTTTAAAAACGTGAGTAGTTACATCTTTGAGCGCGGACTGGTCATTATAGAAACACACCATATACCGGCACTAGTTAGTAAAAGTGAGTAAATGTAAAGAAAACACTTTTTGAGGGAATTTCCAAAGATTCCATCGGTCTGGGAGTCCTAGTGTTGAGATGATGCTTCTATGTTCTGGACTTGTGTGTTCTCTGTCTCAGACTCGGCCCTGGTCCAGGTGCAGGCGGCGTGTGGGTCCCTGCAGGCCGTGTTCAGCAGCGAGCTCTGTGCGAGGAGCAGGTCTCTGTGGCTGCAGTCGGGTCACACTGTGGGTAAGATCCTGGGTCAACTCTTCTCTCCATTTTATCTTCAATACATGTGTGTATTTTAAAGAATTCTTAATATTAGCAAACATAAATTAATCCCAATATCTTACCTAGCAGCAAACAGCAAATAAGGCAAGTTTATATGTATAGCACAACAAAAGAAGATTGGAACTGAATCTAACCTGAATTTCAACTTTGTCAGAGAAGAAGAAGTCTGTCTCATATTTTCAGAGTTCCACATTTTAGCATAAATCTGATACACTGCCTCCCCAAGTTTAGTCCTGACTCTGGGACCAGCAGGAGGCCAGTCCCTGTGCTCCTCCGAGTCCCAGCAGGAGGCCAGTCCCTGTGCTCCTCCGAGTCCCAGCAGGAGGCCAGTCCCTGTGCTCCTCCGAGTCCCAGCAGGTGGCCAGTCCCTGTGCTCCTCAGAGTTGGAGTTGATTCATATGGCTCTAATCTTGTTATTTTAACTTCCATTTCCATTGAATATTCTGATATAATAATGTACCTTTGTGACCCAGCCTTAAGTCTTCTTTCCCCGTCAGATGATTTTCTGATCAAAGCAGACATGCGCTGGAACAAGCAGTATTTGCAGATGTTGAACAAGTGCAGCTTTGAGGAGGAGAGAGGAGAGTTTGTGAACGCTCTGAACACCGTCACCAACAGGTCTGTGTTCACTTTGACTGTTCTGAAGATGTAGGTGTAAGTTAAACATGAAACAATGGTCTCTGTGACAGGATGGTTCTCCTGATGGACCGACAGGAGCGAGCCTTCATCTGCTCCTGCACCGCCAAAGCTTGTTCTCGGGACAGCGCCCTCAGAGGAGCCATCGCCTTCAGCAAAGGTCTGTGTTTAAGTGTGTTAGACATTAAATATTACAACGTTTCTATAAAAGCTAAAAAGTATAAACAGTAAAGCTGAATGATGTCCCCAAGCTGCATCACAGTCAAAGTGTTTGTTTATTTACCCTCAGACAAACACGTACAGGATCTACTCAGGATCTACTCAGAACCCTAACCTGTTTCATTAAGATCATAAACATAAATTCAGCGTCACCTCCACATACACGCTCTGAGTCTCTGGAATCCATTGATGTTTAAATTGTATGTTATTTAAAGACATGTAACTGGATGTGTCTCAGGGAGCGTGGACATGGGTCACCTGTCTCACCCAGTGCTGATGCACCTGCAGCCGTTCTTTGACCTGTGGAGCGCCTACTTCATGGAGGCCGTTCAGAGGGAGCAGCCGCACATCTCAGACCACGTTATGTTCCAGGTCAGTCTGCAGCAGTGGCTTTACCCTCTCCGTGTTTCAAGAAAATATTGTCCGCAATGTAAAGCGGGTTTCATATCTCGGTCTCTCACTTCAGCAGTCGTGAGTTCAGGTGGTTAGGAATGTGAATTAAGTACATGTGAGGGTTTTACAGACTTAAAACACACAGCTGCTACTTTTCTGGATATTGTTTTAACTAAACTCTGCTATAAACAAGAGATCACTGTGTACAAAAGTTAGCATCACAGAATTGTATCACTGCACTCCTTCTGTTGGGGCTGAAAGTGTTTTATTTGTGGGGAAAAGTAACCCAGCTTTGGTCCTGTGTATGTTAAGATTAAGATGACTGAATTCCCACAGTGGGAAGCTATACTAATTAAAATAAAACAAAATCTCTAACTCTATCAATAACAAGAATAAAATGTTGCAGGTGCTTGAGCTGCTGCAGTGGGTGGACCGCCTCTGGGATGTCTCTGGTCTGGTGTCTCCGGACAGTCGGGGCGTGGCTGCGATGGCGCTGCACTGGCAGTGGGTTCACAAACATGTTCTCCTGAAGATTCCTCAGCTCCTGACCCGAGAGGCTGTGGCCACTGAGTGAGTGATGACCGTCCACATGTGAACACCACAGAACCTCCTGGACCTGTATAAAACCCACACCAGCTACATTTGAAGAGAAAGTAAATGTCCACGTAAAGGCAGCACCTCCATATAAGCCTCTTAACCAAAGCTGAAAGATGAACGGATACAACATGATTTAAAGATGCAGTAAGCGATTTTGTTAGCTTAGCCGTAGCATCAACTCGAAACTCCTCCCCTACTCTATAAAACCTGAGGAAAGATCCACTGACGTTAGCTAGCTTAACTTGACTGTTGGCTCCCATGACTCATTTACCGAAGAGATAGCTACTAAACTTGCTCAAAATAATGTTTTTAAACTCTACTCTGACAAAGTTCATACATTTGCTGCGTTCTTATATAGACCACAGGGTTTCAAGACATTTTTAAAAAGTCGTGGCAGTTATGGTACTTTGAGCAACAATATGATTGACTTTTCTGTTTTTATCTCTGGTTATAGTTCCGAGCTTCAGTCTGTGTCGGCGTCCATCCAGAACCTTCTCTCCTTCTCTGAGTCTGTGTCCGCGGTCCTCAAAGGCATCCATAAGAGTCTGGGGAAAGCCCTGCCCTTTAAGGTAAGAGAAGTGAACCCATGGCTCCTTTTGTGTTTGTTATTACGGCATTTCCTGTATTTTATCTGTTTGATTCTCTGATTGGTTGTTTGCAAATCAACTTTGTAGAGTTCTGAGATTACTGCTGCTGGGTTTTAGGGCTATAGAAAATCAAATTGAATTGAAATGAAAACAATAAAAAAAATTGAAATTTACTGTTTACAACTAATAATACGATATTTTTTTAAATGAACAGAAATGACAAATCGTAAATGTATTGAATGAAATAACGTCTTGCGATAGTTTTCTGTAAATTTTTCAAAACTGTTTTTCTGCAGTTGGAAAGCGTTGCCGACTGCTCCTCTCGGCTCCGATCGCTCTGCAAAGTTCTGGACGTCCGTGACCTCAGTCTGGACGGAGCCTCAGAGAGTCGGGCGTCTGACCTGCGCCGTCTGCATGAAGCCGGACTCGGACTAAACGTGAAAAAAGGTCTTCTTGAAGCCTGGGGCCTGGTGTTCATGGCCAAGAATGGTCTTGATGCACAACAGTCCGGTGAGAGCCCACATTCTGCTGTTTCTTTGGGACACGCTACTTTTCTGATCTTGCTGAGTTCTTTCATCATTCTTAGCGCCCTTGTAGATGTGTAATTTTAAGGAATTTTATGAAGATTTTTTTATGCCTGCCTTTACCTTGTCACTCTTACAACTCACTGTGCATGTTAGCTGCATGAGGGTATGGGATACAAGGAGCCTCAGTCCCAGACCCTCATGCAGCTAACATGTTCAGATGTAGACAAACAACTATATATTTCTACAGTATTTTTTTCTTGCTTCTCCATTATGCTAAAGTCAGAGATTTGATTTGTTCATTTATCTTGTGCTGTGTGCTCCTCATTCCTACTGTTCTGTAACTATGCAACACTGACATTTCCCCGCTGTGGGACCGATAAAGGATCTCTTCATCGTAATTACACCTTGAGCCAAAGCAAATTCCCACCAAGTTACTTCCTGTTTCTCACAATGACAATAAAGATAATTCTGATTTATCAATACATGACACACTTTATGGTTTCCAGGTGTTCTAGAAAAGCTGGAGCTGATGGTGGAGAAGCAGCAGCATCACATGACCTCCTGCCGGCTCCTTGAGGATGACTCCATGATGGAAGAGGCGCGAGCTGACGAAGGCCTCCTGAGCAGAGTACAGCTGCAGCGGCTGTGCCACCGAGCGCAGCTGTGGCCTCTCACTGAGTGTCTGACTCTCCTGAACCAGGCCCGGCTCTGCTCGGCTCTGCTGCACATGGCCCTGGCTCCTCGGTACGCTCCCCTCATGTTGATTCTCTTTTGAATTACAGCCTTTTTAGGTTGTGTTCAAGCTGTTAAGAGTTGGAGGGCAGGTTCCAGTACAGCTCTGAGGGAAAGAAGCAATTTATGAAAGAGATTTTTAAAAAGAAAATGTCCAAATGTTTTCCCAGATCATTGTTTGTTAGTGATTGGATCAGAAATGTCAAACCGGATTCAAAGAGCCATTGTAGCTGCAGGTTTTCACTCCAACCAAGCATCCATTTCCTCAAGTGAGTCCTAATCAGAAAAACTAAGGAAATGGGTTGAGACTGTTGTGCTCCTGCTTGGTTGGTGTGAAAACCTGCAGCACACTGGCCCTAAGAGACAGGTTTGACGTCCTTGTCTTAGATTCACAAAGAAGCCATATTGTTCTTGTGTCTGACGGTCCTCTCTATGGACAATGTCATGCATGTTTTTGTTGTCACCATTTCTTGGCGCCTTTTGATGAGGTTAATCTCAGACGTTATTTGATATTTTCTGATGTGTTTTGCTTCGTTGATTGTCTCAAAGAAGTCTGAGTTTGATAGTTACAACAATAGTAAACTATAGGCTCTTTGGGGTGTTGTGATGTCACATGTTGTTTTGGGCAGTGACTCGGACTCTGAGGAGGCTCTACGTGCAGAATTATCCTCTCACCTCGACTTCTGCCTGCGCTCCACTGCTCTGAACGTCAGACACTTCCAACCACTGGACTTTTTGCTAAAGTCTGAACGGGTCAGTCCCACACATCACTAACTCTGAAGCGTGACCTTTTAGTCTGTTCCACATTATCCCTCTCCTTAAATCTACAGCTTCAACTTCATTTAGTTTAACTTGTATTTAACCTTCAGTTCATTCTTGTAACATTATCGGCGGCAGTAGCTCAGTTGGTAGAGCGTTGGCCTTTGAGCCAGAAGGTCGTGGGTTCAAGCCCCGCTCAAGACTTTCACCATTGACTCCCACTGTCTGCTGTCGTTGTGTCCTTAGGCCAGACACTTAACCTCTGGGAACACCAGCCACAGTGGGGCGGCTGCGGCTGTAAAGTGCCAAACTGCCGTAGTGTCCTTAGGCAAGACACTTCACCCCCATTGCCTAGAATGAGTCTGGTGTGTGTATGAATGGTTGGTGGTGGTGGGAGGGGCCGATGGCACAGACTGGTTGCCTCGCTTCTGTCAGTGTGCCCCAGGGCAGCTGTGGCTACAGTAGTAGTTTATCACCACCGTGTTTGGAGTGAATGAATAATGACACATGTGAAGCGTCTTTGAGTGTCCAAAAAAGCGCTGTATAAAACCGATGCATTATTATTATTATTATTATTTAGTGCTCGTTAATAACTTTTCTCTGTGCTCTGTATTGTGTATGTGATGTTTCCAGCCATCTGAGGCGTTGCAGCACGTGTGGTGTGAGCTGCTGTCTGAGGTGTTTGAGGTCCTGTGGTCCAGCAGCGTCACGTCTGATCCAGATCGATGGTTTTCTTTAGACACGTCGAGCTCTGAGGGTCCTTTGCCGCGCCGGCGGTCACCCATCATGGTATTTCCTTTGATTACCATGACGGAGATGGATCACAAAACATGACCAAATATGTGTTTCAGGGCCCTGCATTGTTGAGTAAAGCTGTGTGGTCCCGGTGCATGCTGGGAGTTCTGAGTGGCAGGGCCTCCAGGCTCCGGTGGGATCCATCGGGCCTCAGCCTCATGACCTCCTCGCCTCTGCGGCTCGGGGAGTGGAAGGAGAGAGTTCAGCAGCTTCAGGATTTGTCCTCTGTCGTCCTGGACAATTTAGCCTTCCCTGCCCTGGCTGACTTCAGGTATTAAATGTCTGCTGCATTATTTCTTGGGTACTTAACTTTGTTTTTTTTATGTTGTTTCAAAGTGATAATCAAGACTTGAAATGTAGAGTTCCTTATTCCATAGAATGATGAACCCTGGTTAACTTTGGAACTGCCCTGTTTTGTCAGATGCACAGACTTGAGCCTGCAGGGGGCAGTATTGCGCCGGCAGCTTCAGAGTATGGCACAGTTGTTGCCCTTCAGTCTGCAGGAGGGATTCATGGAGAGCTGTGAAAGCCTCGTGGAAGCCCCAGACCCTCTGATCCCAGCACAGGAGATCCACACCCTCTTCAGAGACTTGATGTGTCCAAAGTCGCTCCCAGACGGCCTGCTCGATGCCTGCAGCACTTGTGTGCAACAGTATGTTCAGAGCCGGGTCCATGGTCCAGACCTGGTCCGCTCTGGGGTTTTCTGGGTTCACATGGGTCTGGTCCAGATCAAAGTGTGGACCCCACAGACGATCTTTGACCCTGCTGTGAAGAGAGCCTATAAACTGAAGTATGCTCAACAGGAGGTGAGACTTGTACCATATATTATAATAAATATGGTACAATGACGTCTACTTGTATTAAAATAAAAACCTTCTTACAGTTGATGCAGGTTCTAGAGGAGTGGAGGGGGCGGAGCCTAATGGCGCAGCTCACGACTGGAATAGAGTTGGTGGAAAACCGTGTAAAAGATGGACAGCAGCATCCTCGCATCAGGTCAGACTCCAGAGTGTCTTATGAACGTCATGTGTTTTATTTAGACTTTATTAAGGACTCACATGTGTTTATTCTCTAATGTCTCTGTTTTGTTCAGATACCTGTGTGTCCGCATGCAGCAGCTGAAAGAAGAAATTGCAGAACTGTCCAGGAAACAGGCCTTCCGTCCAGACGAAGCTCAGTACAGCGCTCTGTTCCAGGAGCTGCAGCACTACCTCTGCAGCATCGGCCAGTTCTCCACAGTACAGAAACTTGCCTCAAACCTTCAGGGGGCGCTGCAGAGCCCTGTCTCCCGGGGCGCGGTGCAGAGCTTACTGAAGGAGGAGGACGTGTGGCAAAAATCCCAGCAGCGCTTCTGCCACAGGCTCCAGGAGAAGTTCCCCTTGTACCCGGACGTGGTGAACCCGGTCCGGACTGGGATCCTCCAGCTGCAATACGGCATGAGGCTGCTGTCCGCCCCCGTGGCCTCCTCCCTCACCCCCATGCCTGGCCTATCTCAGTTCCTGTCCTGCCTTCTTGCCTTCCCATCGCTGACCCCTGACCAGCCCACTCACTTGAGCCGAGCCAACTTCCTGTGCTCCAGAACGTGTATGGAGGTGGTGCAGTCGCTGATGAAGGTCCAGCCTCATCAGGAAGACGACCGTGTGGCTCCGCAGTCCTCAGACCTGCTGCTCACGGCTCTGCTCTACGTGCAGTGCCATAGTCTGACCACTGGGGAGCTCACCACTGATGCTAGCAGCCTCTTCAGACACATCTGTCAGGTGATTATCAAGTATATTATGCTAAAGTTGGATATTTTAGATTTGTTTCCTGATTATGCAAAGTAGGTAAGTCAAAGCGCTTTACAATGCGTTGTTCAGATATTGTTTCATTTCCTCCACACACGGTAATGAGGGAAGCAAGACCAGAACACACAGGTCCATCAAAGCCTCCGACCAAACACCATCCATTCACTCACGCCATTACATCCAGACCTATTGTACATGTTTTTTGTGGTAGGGGAAACTGAAGCAGGGCAGACACAGGGAGAACATGCAAACTCCACTCAGAAGACCCTTTTCCAACCGGGATACAATTCCAGGACCTTCTTGCTGAGAAGCGAGAGTGCTAACCACTCAGCCAGCTTGCTGCCCAAAGCTAGAGATGTTATACTTACTTGCTCCTCATTCCTACTGTCCTGTAACTGGTGATGCAACACTGAAAATTCCCGTCTGTGGGACCAAAAAAGGATCTCTTCCTCTTAAATAAGGTTAGGTTGAAGTTATGGGCGGCACGGTGGCTGAGTGGTTAGCACTCTCGCATCTCAGTAAAAAGGCCCTGGGTTTCTTCGAACAGAGTTATGTTTGAATGTTCTCCCCGTGTCTGCGTAGGTTTCCTCCGGGTGCTCCGGTTTCCCCTACCACTAAAAACATGTGCAATAGTTCTGAATGTAAAGAGAGAGTGAATGGATGGTGTTTGGTCGGACCTTTGATGGACCAGTGTGTTCGGCGTCTCGCTTCTGTCATCACCGTGTGGAATGATTGGAACAATATCTGATTTCTGAACAATTGTAAAGCGCGTCCCTTGGTCTGTAAAATGCGCTATATAAAAAACATTACCTACTTACCATAGGCTTCCTGCACAACCATCTGATTTGGCCGAGATATTCCTTGTGGTGTGTGACTGATGGCTTCCTCCTCAGGCTCTGGTGAACGATTGGGACGAGCAGCAGAGGAGGAGCAGTGAGAAGGAGCAGCAGGAGTCCAGTCTGTACCGCAGCAAACAGCACGGATCAGAACTGACGGAGGAGGAGCAGGAGGAGAGGGAGTTCAGGAAGCACTTTCCACACTTCAACCAGGTAGGGTTAGGGTTATTCATAATCTTAATACAGTGTTGGCAGCCTGAAGGACATTACAAAGCTGTTGATTCGCCGACACAGATCAGAGAATCAAACTATTCAAACAAAAGAAATGCAGTGATAAAAACACATGGTGCCTGTAGGATGGATAACTCCGGGGTGGACTGTAAGGACTGTGTAGAAGGTTCTGGTTTGGTGTTAATGCTGTGACTGTCGGTCAGAACACTATCTGAGCCACGATGATATGCAGAGGAGAGACATTGACGAGACCGGTTGAGGATTTGTAATAAACAGAAATAAAGACTAAATTTCAAAGCATCTGACACTTAGATTAGTATCAAGAAAAGTGTGTTTTCACTGTCGTCACAGTCTCTCAGGTAAAAGATGGGGGCGCCCTCTAATGGAGACTCACGGAACAACATGTAAACAAACTAATATACATAGGGCCCTATGGACAGATGACCAATGTCCTTTAATGTAAATAATAATATATTATAATAATATTATAATACAGTAATGATATGAAAAGATATCATCTTGTCCAACATTGTATATAATAAACGAATAATATAACATGTGTCTGTCCTTCAGGACTTTGCAGACATTGTGCTTCAGCCGACTCTAGAGGGCGACGGCAGCGGAGCCTCTGTGTCGGAGCCGGATCAGGAAGAGTCGAGTGAGGAGAGCGTTTTGTCCCAGAGTGCCCTGAACACAGTGATCCAAGTTCACCAGAACCTGTGCTCGGGCTACGCTCAGTCGTTATGGTATCGCAGCAAACCTCCAGCCAATCAGAGCGCAGGACACATACAGGCCCTGGTCTCGTCCTATCAAGTGGCTGCTCCAGTGATATTCCACCTCTACCATCTCATCGGTCAGAATTCAGCTTTTTACTTCTTACTCTCTAATTTTTTTTTTTTTTTTTTTTTTTTTGATTGGGACTATGCACATTAATGAACATCAGTATAAAACAAATGTAAATATGCCGGATTATAGCTACCAAGCTAGTTTTCATCTGTAGTCCCAAGGCAGGAAAATACAGAGGAAATGACAACATACAATATTATACTTTATTTCTTTCTCTCTCTTTCGATTGTGGACATGACAAAACACCACATAGTTGTTAAATTTCAAATAATTGTCACACTAATGACATTTTTTCTCTATTTATAATCATTAATTTCATATGATTTCATTGTTGTTGCTGTGTTTTTTTTCTTTAAACATTTACCGGTAGTAATTTTAACAAATGTTATGTAGATTTTTAAAGTTTTATGTATGTCTTTCTCTATTTTTAGCTCTTAAAGGAGCAATATGTAAAAATCTGGCCAAAAGTGGTACTGCAGTCACAGTCAATATTGTGTAGTCCTCTCCCACTCTCCCTGACTCAGGTTGCCAGATTCACACCAAATCCAGCAGCAAACGAATGGGAATTATTTTATCAGTTGTTTGTCCGTCTCCATTCACATTGCCATGACAGCCGTGCTAATGCTGAATGAATGTTTTGATTAATGTTTTTTTATTATTATTATTTGGACATTTGAGATAAAAAAACAAAAACAAAATAAAAGCATTGTAATTATACATAGTTTATGCAAAATAAATAAGAAATTGATGTCCAAAATAGGAGTGGGAAGAATGGATGTTGGAACGTATTTCTTCAGCGTATCAACATCAGGGTTTGCTCAAGAGGATATCACCTTTACATTTTATTTATTCCCTATTTTTTAGACAAACATGTAAAAGTCCCACATAAAAAAGAGACTAACATTATTTTAATTGGGGTACATGTGGTCTTAAATGATTATTTTTACAATTAAGCTATAATCTGCAAAAAAACGTCTTGACCTTCATCTTTTACCGTTTTTAGAGCAATCTGTCATAGAATGTGATAACATGCAATACATACAAAAAGACATAACCCGGGATCGAATCCGGGTTCCTACCTCGTAAGCGCACAGCTTAGACCACTAGGCCACCAGTTACCACTAAAAGAGACACTGTGAAGAACGCCCTTAAACTAGAAAATTCTGCATCACACGTGAACTTTTATCGGCTGTCTCAATTGTTCAAAGGCATCCCGATATAAATCCTCGTTTTAGTCTTTGTTTTGTCATTAATGATTTGAGAGTCATAACAAGACCTTTTTTAGTTCTGCGCCACATGTTATTTTACCTCTGAGATTAGTGAGCCGCACGGAGTTCTGGCAACCCGATCACGGACTTACATGACACTTCCTGATTGGCGAAACGGCGGAGGGTAGGACATCAAAATCAAAACAATAACAACTTTTACGGGTCGTAAAACTAATTTTGATAATCAAATATCTCGGCTGAACTACTGTTATCAGTTAACTCATTCACTGCCCATGACGACAAAACTCGTCATGTTGAATAGTAACGCTCACTGCCCATGACGAGTTTGACGAGTTTTTCGTGTTATTACACGGGAGGCTACAGTAATGTCTGGCGCACCTTGTTAATGACCCACAACACTGATATATAGTGCAAATGTACCTGTAATGATAAATCACCACCAGTAGGATGCAGTATTGCACCACAGGAGAGGTCATAAGTCAGTGGAGAGGAGGAGGAGGAGTGTGGGGTCTTTGGACAGCGTGCTGCTGTAGCAGAGCGTGCTGCTGTAGCATTGAGACGATCTAGTTTAGCAATAGTATAGCAAGAGTGATGGCGAAAAAGAATAGTTATAAGCAGCTGACACTGCTTCAGAGATTGACTCGCGGATCAGTGAGTGAGGTCGAGAGGGGAGAGAGTGGAGACCCCGGTGGAGGTCCGTCTCTGCAGCTACATTTGCGCGGAGCAAGAGCAGAGACACACCTTCCGCCTCTCGCAGCGTATCAGCTGCTGTTGTTACTGATGCCTCGGATTCGTTCAGCAAACCTGATCATGATTTATCGGACACACACACAAACACTCACACGCACTCACTCACTCACTCACTCACGCACACAGACACTCACTCGCACACTGACATTCACACACTGACATTCACACACACAGACACTCACTCACAGACACTCACTCGCACACTGACAGTCACACACACTGACACACACTCACACAGACACTCACTCACTCGCACACTGACATTCACACACACACACTCAAATTCACATGCTTCATTCTATTTTATACATCTATAGTTTTATTGATCTTTGTGTTGTTGTTGTTTGACGTTTTGGTTGATGGTATAGAAGAAAGTTAAATTTGTGTGTATCTGTGAATAAATTGCCAACAATTTGCCATCAAAAGTATTATTTCAGAGTCATGTTTTTATAATTTTTGTAATGGAACAAGTGTGGAGATGTTTTGAGTTGTCACTAAAGCAGCAAAAATGCATCTAAAAGTCTCTTTTCTGCTTGATATGTTCCTGTTTACATACAGCTCGTTTTCTCTGTTTCTTGCTCAGACCAGGTGTTATGGGTGAAAGTATGCTTTGTTCTATGGCGAATAACGCAAGAACGGTAAGAGGTAGAAACAAACTGTTTTTTTCAGAGTAAAGCAGAGAGGTGAATCTTTAATTTGGTGCCCTTGGTGTTTACATCGTCTAAAAAATGAATATTCTGTGGCACTTCAAAGTTGGGTCAAATCACCTGAAATTGCTGGCAGAATGCACTTCTCAAATCTGAAAATGCCTGGCAGTCAGTGAGTTAAAGATGAATTCGAAAAGAGTATGATTTAATAACGCCTTTTGAAATATTCGGGTCATTTAATGATGACTTGACATGCAAATATTACATATTGCTCCTTTAACTTGTTTACACCAAGAGACAAAGCAAGTTCCTAGTTTGTGATTCACGATGGAAATAAAAATAATTCTGATTCTGAACTTTAGTTGTTGATGGTATCTACTGACCTCTTTGTTTTTCCCAGACTCAGACCTGGACCAGAAGCTGTCGGGCAGTGAGCTCCTTGTCTCTGCTCTGCTGCAGAACACGGTGCAGGGTGTGGCAGGACCAGGTGCACTGGTGCTGAGCTCTGATGGTCCCTACGACTTCTACCAGCAGCCCAACATGAGCGAGGCCCGGCTCTGCCTCCCTGTTCTGCACCAGCTCACTCAGGCCGTGACCCAGAGGCTGCAGGAGTGGCCCGATCACCCCGCCCTGGTCCAGGTGTGATATTAGATGGATCGCTTTTTTACACTTTTGTTTCCAGAACAAAAAAGACAAGACACAGCACACCAGGCACATAAAACAATGAAAGTCCCCAAATCTCTTTAGAGTAGACCATACCAGTGTTTCCACAGTGCAGAGGTATAACTATAATTGTTCAGGCGACACTTGTACATTATGTTCCTTAAGTTGGCTGCAGTGAGTTCTCTCGAAAGGACACAGATAGTTCAGAGGCGCTGCTCCATCTGGGTTATTTTAGCAACAGTCAGAAGGTATCGTTGTAGGCCACTTTCAGTCTCTGTAGGCTGGATATTTTATAGTTCACCCACAGATGAGCGGTGTAAAGCCCGAAACAAAGCCACTTTTACTGCATGAGAACAGAATCCAAATTTCCGCAGCAGAATATTATCCTGAGCGTACAGCAGCGGGCCCTGTCCAGACTGATTCTGGTACTGACCACGTGAAGCTGGACCGCCAGGAACGGTTTAGGAATGTCTTGTTTTTTAGAAGATGTTGTATTTGATTTATTTCACCTTTCAAACTTCTCAGTGACTAACGACAGAATGTCAGATTTATTTGTATAACACATTTACAACACCAGCTTCACAAGCACAAAAGATACAAAAATAGAAGAAAACAACGTAAAATACACGCAGTAGAACTCAGTTGGTGTTAAAAGGCATAAAACTGCAGCCAAACCATGCAAACATTCAAAAACCAGCATCATAATCTTAAAATTGACCCTGAACGTGTCCCTGTGAGCTAGTGAAGTGAACCCAGCACAGGGGTGATGTGCTCTGTCCCTGTGAGCCAGTGAAGTGAACCCAGCACAGGGGTGATGTGCTCTGTCCCTGTGAGCCAGTGAAGTGAACCCAGCACAGGGGTGATGTGCTCTGTCCCTGTGAGCCAGTGAAGTGAACCCAGCACAGGGGTGATGTGCTCTGTCCCTGTGAGCCAGTGAAGTGAGGCCAGCACAGCACACTGTTCGGGGCGAGTGTAGGATTCCTCAGTGTAAAACAGCATTCGGCAGCTCAGCCTTCTCCAGTGTGGCCATCAGACAGTGGAATATGTTGCCAACAGAGCTGACCACATGTGTACATTTTAACACTTTTTCACACCAGGCCAAAAAATGGCTTCTTTTAAAACAAACCTGTTCCCATAAAGTAGTGTAAATTGGTTTCATTTTAATGCTGTTTAGGGGGAAATGTATTTTTAACATGTGTAATTTTCTAAAACTTTGTATGTTGACATCAGTCTGCCCAGGGACTGCAGGTGGAAATTAGCACAAGTGCTACAACCTGGTACAATGCATCTCTCCTTTCTGAGGTTAATGTATATTGTACACTGTCCCTGTTCAAATAAATAAATAAATGAAATGAAATGAAGCACAGGGGTGATGTGCTCTGTCCCTGTGAGCCAGTGAAGTGAGGCCAGCACAGGGGTGATGTGCTCTGTACCTGTGAGCCAGTGAAGTGAGGCCAGCACAGGGGCAATGTGCTCTCTAATATGTCCCTGTGAGCCAGTGAAGTGAGGCCAGCACAGGGGTGATGTGCTCTCTCTGTCCCTGTGAGCCAGTGAAGTGAGGCCAGCACAGGGGCGATGTGCTCTCTTATATGTCCCTGTGAGCCAGTGAAGTGAGGCCAGCACAGGGGTGATGTGCTCTCTCTGTCCCTGTGAGCCAGTGAAGTGAGGCCAGTACAGGGGTGATGTGCTCTCTCTGTCCCTGTGAGCCAGTGAAGTGAGGCCAGTACAGGGGTGATGTGCTCTCTCTGTCCCTGTGAGCCAGTGAAGTGAGGCCAGCACAGGGGTGATGTGCTCTCTCTGTCCCTGTGAGCCAGTGAAGTGAGGCCAGTACAGGGGTGATGTGCTCTCTCTGTCCCTGTGAGCCAGTGAAGTGAGGCCAGTACAGGGGTGATGTGCTCTCTCTGTCCCTGTGAGCCAGTGAAGTGAGGCCAGCACAGGGGCGATGTGCTCTCTTATATGTCCCTGTGAGCCAGCGAAATTGGTTCCAGAAGGAGCCAAAGGGACTGCAGCCACGCCGATCCTTTAAGCCGAGGACTGCTTTGACCCCCTTGGGCTAAATAAAACACTTGCATGGCCCTAACAAAGTGCTTGTGTGGAAAAACACAGAAAGCAGAAAATTAACCGGTTCAAGGCACATTTAAAGTGGTGATTAGTAGAGTTGTTCCGAGCACAACCAATACATTTTTCAACCATTCCAGCTTGTAATAATTGCACCTTTTCAATATTGGTATTTTTAAAAAGTGAGACTTAATAAAATGAAGCAAAGAACATGATATACATTCACACTGGTTTATGTTTACAGATTTACATTGAATTGAATTATATTTCTGTTTGGTTTCTGGTGTGTTCAGGTCACAGTTGTGATCGAGCGGATCTTGGGCTTCAGTCTCGCGAGTCCTTTGGCCAAGTTTCTGAACGGCCTGGAAATCCTCCTCAGTAAAGCCCAGGTCGGTCTGGTTGGTCCCTGAGTCTGTCTGATGCAGCGATGGTGATGTCATTTTGGTTTTCTGCCGCAGGACTGGGAAAACAACGCCAGCCGCTCGGTGTCGCTCAGGAAGGAGCTGGAGCCGGTCACTCAGCTCATCATCCAGTGGCGTAAACTGGAACTCAGGTAAAACAGTTTCATCTAGATTCAGATTCATTTATTTGCGATTTGCAATAAAACCACATCTAAATAATATCTGTACACTTGTAGCTCACCGTTTTTAGTGGTCTCATAAATGATTATCATCTATCAACAGCTGCAGCTTTCTTTTTAAGATGATTTTATCAAGAAAACAAGCAATTAACTCTAAACATTGAACCCAAAACGCATTAGTAATAGTTTGATAATAATAATAATAATGCATCGGTTTAATACAGTGCGTTGTTGGACTCTCAAAGAAGCACAGCAGACTCATTCTAATGTGGGGGAAGTGTCCTGACTCTTGCCTAAGGACACAACCACAGTTTGGCACTTTAAAGCCGCAGCCGCCCCACTGCTGCACCTGCTGTTCCCAGAGGTCTCCCATCACAGCACTAACCAGGCCCTGCCCTGCTTAGCTCCAGAGGTCTGACTGGTTATGGTTCAATCCAAACATTTCCTTTTGTTTCTGACCTCGAGTAGAACTAAAACTTATTGTAATTCTTTTGTCAAAATAAAAGCGGATATTTACAGAATAACCACAGAAGCAAAGAGTATAATGTGTACCTTTTATCTGTGCCACTGTGGGGAAATGTCAGTGTTGCATCGTCACAGAGCAGTAGGAATGAGGAGCACACAGGACACGACACAATAACTCTGTATAACATCAAATAAAATCTCCAACTTTAGCATAATACAAAATATAGCCTGAAAATAGTTGGTTTTATGCAACACTGGGTACATGTGTTGAGTGTTTTGTTTGTGTTTCTATCGTGTGTCTCCTGGTCCTGGTGCAGTTACTGGTCCTGTAGTCTGGATAACGCAGCCAAACGTCACACGGAGAAGTCGAGCAGACACTGGTTCTCTCTGTATCAGCTTCTGGAGAGATTTCTACAAGAGCAGAGAGAGGAGGCGGCTCCAGGTACTGTCCTTTTAAGACCAGGTACTGTCCCTTTAAGACCAGGTACTGTCTCTTTAAGACCAGGTACTGTCTCTTTAAGACCAGGTACTGTCTCTTTAAGACCAGGTACTGTCCCTTTAAGACACAGACAGATACAGATGAAAGTACTTTCCAAATAAGTTCATGTTATTAACTAAACATTATAATGTGCTGGAGCGGCCGTGGTGGATTTAACTTTCTCCAGAAGATGAAGGGAAATGACAGCTATGATACACTCACACATGGATCAAACTGATTCATTCAATAAGTTGCTATTTTATATTTATTTTAGTAACTTGCACTTTTTATTTGAACTGTATTTTAATATGCAAATTATGTTTGTTTAGTGAAGTTAGACAGGAGCTGGTGCTAAATCTGGTGCAGCAACCTTATAATGCTTATTAAGTGCATAAATAAAATTATATGTATAAAGAGCGCTTTGACTGAAAATAACCCTAACCCTTTTATGGGTTAGGGCAATATTTTGCCTAAACCTTAGTTTTAGTTTAGTTTAGTCTTTAAGATGAAGAGATCCTTTATCGGTCCCACAGTGAGGAAATGTCAGTGTTGCATCACCAGTTACAGGAGAGTAGATTAGTGAACACAGCTCTATACTAAATTTAAATAATATAAAATAAAATCTCTAACTTTAGCATAATAAGGAAGCAAGTAAGTACTGTTTATTCTCCGTCCGTCCATCCGTTTTCTTCCGCTTCATCCGTTGCCGGGTCGCGGGGGCAGCAGTCTAAGCAGAGACGCCCAGACTTCCCTATCCACACACACCTCCTCCAGCTCGTCCGGGGGGACCCCAAGGCGTTCCCAGGCCAGCTGAGAGACATAGTCCCTCCAGCGTGTCCTGGGTCTTCCCCGGGGCCTCCTCCCGGTTTATTCTACTGCAGAAATATATAGATCGATATTGATCCCTGTAGGAGAAATCCATTTGTCCAGTAGCAGCAAAAACACATCCATCCACACACACAAAACAAATACATTGATCATTCTAAAAAGCTAATAACAGTAATAATAAAATGCTACAGCACTTATTAGTCGTGTGTATCCATCTGTACATGTTTATGAAAGGGACACAGCTCGGCAACATTAACCTCAAAGACAGATAATGTTTTGCAGCAGATTATACACACACATCTGATGTAGGCCATTGTGTTTACCGTTTACCGCTCAGTTAGACATGTTTTTCTCTTGTTCATGTGTATTTCTGTTCCCAGCTGAAGGAGGCCTGGAGCCGCTGAGTCTGCGGTCTGTGAGCTCCACGCTGCAGGCCTTCATGGAGGGCTCCACCGTGGGACAGTTCCACACCAGACTCTCCATGTTGCACAGCTTTCACTGCCATCTCCTGCTCGTGCCAGAACAACCAGGACGAGGTCGGTCTTATACCAGGTCTTAACAAAGTCCTGGGTTGATTCCACTTTCAGACCTTTCTGTGTGGAGTTTGCATGTTCTCCTTATGTCTGTTTAGGTCTTGAAGAAGAGTCTGGGATCGTGACTTTTATTCAGACAGAAGACATGTTTTTTTGTCGATTGTCTCCTTGATTTTGACACCCATGCTCTGTATAATACTCTGTCTCTGAGGCATTTATTTAGTTTCAGTTGTAGGTGTGTCATGTGAGTGTTTTCAATTAAAATAGTGTGGAAAGAATGAAAAAGGTTGGGGAGCACTGGTTTATTCAGATCAGTGCAGATGTCGTGATGAGGCCCTCTGCTCGACCTCGGCTAAAGTCCCTGTGACCGCAGCTCTGGCTCTGCTCAGACTGACCTCCTTCCACAGCCACAGCAGGAACCATGTGCAGAGCGTGTGAGACCATGTGCAGACAGTGTGAGACTGGATCATTATGACCTCTGACCCCTGCAGCTAATCAACAAACTGGGCAATAATGTGTGTCCACGTCCTGGGTTTGTGTCCCATCTACTTTGGGTTTGTGTCCCATCTACTTTGTTTTATAAAATATTAACACATTTTATAAAACAAGTGCTGCACAGAGATGGAATCAACACATTTAAATATTATATATACTGTATATATTATATGCAGGTTTGCCAGCATTATGTTTAAAATACATAAATGAATAAATACAAATAAAGAAATAGAAGTAAAAACAAAAAAATACTAGTTTTTCCGATTCACGTCAATGGTCTTTACTCAGTTAACAAGAAGGACTGATGGTCCAGGACGCTCTACATTCTACTACATTTATGGACATTGGTCTCTATGGTCCAATACCATGTGGTCTCTCTCTATGGTCAATACCATGTGGTCTCTCTCTATGGTCAATACCATGTGGTCTCTCCCTATGGACCAATACCATGTGGTCTCTCCCTATGGTCAATACCATGTGGTCTCTCTCTATGGTCAATACCATGTGGTCTCTCTCTATGGTCAATACCATGTGGTCTCTCTCTATGGTCAATACAGTGCCTTGCGAAAGTATTCGGCCCCCTTGAACTTTTCAACATTTCGCCACATTTCAGGCTTCAAACATAAAGATATAACATTTTAGTTTTTTGTCATGAATCAACAACAAGTGGGACACAATCGTGAAGTGGAACGAAATTTATTGGATAATTTAAAAAAAATTAACAAATAAAAAACTGAAAAGTGGGGTGTGCAATATTATTGGGCCCCTTTACTTTCAGTGCAGCAAACTCAGTCCAGAAGTTCAGTGAGGATCTTTGAATGATCCAATGTTGTCCTAAATGACTGATGATGATAAATAGAATGCATCTGTGTGTAATCAAGTCTCCGTATAAATGCACCTGCTCTTTGATAGTCTCAGGGTTCTGTTTAAAGCACAGAGAGAACCATGAAGACAAAGGAACACACCAGGCAGGTCCGAGATACTGTTGTGGAGAAGTTTAAAGCCGGATTTGGATACAAAAAGATTTCCCAAGCTTTAAACATCTCAAGGAGCACTGTGCAAGCAATTATATTGAAATGGAAGGAGTATCAGACCACTGCAAATCTACCAAGACCCGGCCGTCCCTCCAAACTTTCATCTCAAACAAGGAGAAGACTGATCAGAGATGCAGCCAAGAGGCCCATGATCACTCTGGATGAACTGCAGATAACTACAGCTGAGTTGGGGATGGTGTGTTCAGGGTGATGAGCTGTGTTGCTTTTACGCCAAACATATCGTTTTGCATTGTGGCCAAAAAGTTTGATTTTGGTTTCATCTGACCAGAGCACCTTCTTCCACATGTTTGGTGTGTCTCCCAGGTGGCTTGTGGCAAACTTTAAACGAGACTTTTTATGGATATCTTTGAGAAATGGCTTTCTTCTTGCCACTCTTCCATAAAGGCCAGATTTGTGCAGTGCACGACTGATTGTTGTCCTATGGACAGACTCTCCCACCTCAGCTGTAGTTATCTGCAGTTCATCTAGAGTGATCATAGGCCTCTTGACTGCATCTCTGATCAGTCTTCTCCTTGTTTGAGATGAAAGTTTGGAGGGACGGCCGGGTCTTGGTAGATTTGCAGTGGTCTGATACTCCTTCCATTTCAATATAATTGCTTGCACAGTGCTCCTTGAGATGTTTAAAGCTTGGGAAATCTTTTTGTATCCAAATCCGGCTTTAAACTTCTCCACAACAGTATCTCGGACCTGCCTGGTGTGTTCCTTTGTCTTCATGGTTCTCTCTGTGCTTTAAACAGAACCCTGAGACTATCAAAGAGCAGGTGCATTTATACGGAGACTTGATTACACACAGATGCATTCTATTTATCATCATCAGTCATTTAGGACAACATTGGATCATTCAAAGATCCTCACTGAACTTCTGGACTGAGTTTGCTGCACTGAAAGTAAAGGGGCCGAATAATATTGCACGCCCCACTTTTCAGTTTTTTATTTGTTAAATTTTTTTAAATTATCCAATACATTTTAATCCACTTCACGATTGTGTCCCACTTGTTGTTGATTCATGACAAAAAACTAAAATTTTATATCTTTATGTTTGAAGCCTGAAATGTGGCGAAATGTTGAGAGTTTCAAGGGGGCCGAATACTTTCGCAAGGCACTGTACCATGTGGTCTCTCTCTATGGTCCAATACCATGTGGTCTCTCTCTATGGTCCAACACCATGTGGTCTCTCCTTATGGACCAATACCATGTGGTCTCTCCTTATGGTCCAATACCATGTGGTCTCTCCTTATGGTCCAATACCATGTGGTCTCTCCCTATGGACCAATACCATGTGGTCTCTCCCTATGGTCGAATACCATGTGGTCTCTCCCTATGGTCCAATACCATGTGGTCTCTCCCTATGGTCCAATACCATGTGGTCTCTCTCTATGGTCCAATACCATGTGGTCTCTCCCTATGGTCCAATACCATGTGGTCTCTCCCTATGGACCAATACCATGTGGTCTCTCCCTATGGACCAATACCATGTGGTCTCTCCCTATGGACCAATACCATGTGGTCTCTCCTTATGGACCAATACCATGTGGTCTCTCCTTATGGACCAATACCATGTGGTCTCTCCTTATGGACCAATACCATGTGGTCTCTCCTTATGGTCCAATACCATGTGGTCTCCTTATGGTCCAATACCATGTGGTCTCTCCCTATGGTCCAATACCATGTGGTCTCTGGTCGTGGAGTAGGAACCCATGACCAATGCTGCCAACTGAGCCGCTCTCGCCCCAGTTTGGATTCAATACTGAAGAATAAAAGCTCCAGAGAAGTTGACTACTGTCAGACTGTACGATAAGTCACTAATGCTCTGGGACTATAAACCTGCACTGCTATTGCCACTGTGAGAATGTAGTGTGGCCCATGAGAAACCGGACAGAACCATCTTAAGCTAACGCCCTTTCTGGACGTACAGCAGATCCATGGAACACAAATGCTTAAGTAAATGTATTAATTTAATGTATTTGTTTTGTCTTTTCCAGAGGCTCTGTGCAGTTTATTGTGGAACTTGACGTGTTATTACAGACAGTTCTCTGAGACTGTGCACAGCAACCTCCTCAAGCTCCGGCAGCCCATAGAGAAGGAGCTAAAGGTACAAATATATGATTTAGAAGTTTCACAGTTAAAGATGCAGTCAGTGATTTTTTTTTTCCAGACGCATTTTTTTTTTATATTGTGGGAAAACGTCCCTAAACCCTAAAAGTATCAAGTTATCATGTGTTTTCTAATAGTAATGGAAATGACCAGATGTCTATAGTCTAAAAAAATTAATAACAAATATTTTGGAGCGGACCGATAAAAACAGACCAATGGGATTCGTTCATTCCCAACGAACCAATGGTATGTGTTTACCGCCTTCACCCTCTTCCTGTTTCTCAGACTGCACCGGAGTTATCGGATTTTCTAAAACCTAAAATGGCTGAACAGAAAATGCCAATTTCATGTTTTCTCCACTCTCCCTGTGACAAAGAAAAGAAAATGCTGGATGTTTGGTTTAGTGGAGAGGGAGGGGAGGGGGAGTGGTTTGGTGGAGGGGGAGTGGTGTGGTGGAGGGGGAGTGGTTTGGTGGAGGGGGAGTGGTTTGGTGGAGGGGGAGTGGTTTGGTGGAGAGGGAGGGGAGGGGGAGTGGTTTGGTGGAGGGGGAGGGGGGGAGGGGTTTCCAGTTGGTGCTACGGCTAAGCTAACAAAATCACTTTAAAAATCAGGTAACACTTTAGATTAGCCCTCACTAATTAACTAGCAGTTAATTAATATACCCCAACTCTAACCCACATGGGAAAGCGTCAGTTAGTAGTTAGTTAGATGTAGAATAAGGACTAATAAATACCAATTATTTACACTCATCAGACCTTAATTATCTGTTAATTAGTTTGGGCTGAACTAAAGTATGACCTGATATTGTAAAATCCCATTGAACTGATTATTGTGTCTTCAGGACTTTGTGAAAATTTCAAAGTGGAACGACGTGAGTTTTTGGGCGATCAAACAGTCTGTGGAGAAGACTCATCGGTGAGAGCTCATTGTCTTTGTTCCCAGTTCATACAGAATAATACAATGTGCATTTTCTTCACAGAACTCTTTTCAGATTCATGAGGAAGTTTGAGGAGTCCCTGAACGGCCCCAGCCTCCCGTCTCTGGTGGAGCAGGGAGGAGACCCGGACCATGGACCAGAGGAGACGCCAATGCAGAGGCTTCACCAGGAGCTGAGGAGGAGCAGTCCACAGAGAGGCCCCGACGTCCAGGTAGAGAGACCCACACACACGCACACACACGCACACGCACACACGCTTAGAAACGCTTAGAAACGCTTAGAAACGCTGGACACCTGCATCTGTCTTTCAGGGATCAATAAAGTTTCTATAAACACAAGCTTTTATACACTCTGCTGTCACTCATACTCTTCTTCAGTGATTTTAAATGCACTAGGTCGGCACGGTGGCTGAGTGGTTAGCACTCTCGCTTCTCAACAAGAAGATCCTGGGTTTGAATCCCGGTCGGAACAGGGCTTTTCTGAGTGGAGTTTGCATATTCTTCCCGTGTTTGCTAGGTTTCCTCCAGGTACTCCAGTTTCCCCTACCACTAAAAACATGTACAATAGGTCTGGCATCAGTGAGGGACTGGGGCCAGACCTATTGTACCCGACCCAGAAATTGATTAAGTGGAAGAAAATGGATGGATGGATACTTATTTTCTCTATATGGAATTTTGTGACACAATCAGAAACCAAAGTCTGTCCACAAGGTATAATACGCTTATTCATTGAGCTAAAGTTGGCTGGATGACACTGTGAACTGATCTTTACATACAATTGGTTAGCAAGGGACACATTTATCATTTTTGGACAGGTCACGCTCCCCGCTCTGCTGCGACATAGAGCAGAGAACACATCCATATAAACACATGAGTTCTTCCATTATCAACATTTCTAACTAACATATGTGATAGTTCTGTTTGATATTTAATAAAATATGTTATGTGTGTAAAAAATTAAGCCCGAGAAAAATATTGGATATTTATGTCCGGCTTCCGACAGCAGAATATTCCAATGCGGCATCATGGGTACTGGGTTTTACCTGAAGTCCTTCGAGACCTCATTGATTTGAACCAGACCCTTTTCTGAATGTTATTGTTTGTTTTGTAATTGCTTCTTTATACTTGTAGTTCTCTGAGGACGTTCCGGAGGGTTCCTCTCTCCAAGCCCGGCTGCCTCTCCTGATCAGAAAGATGAAGAAGATGTGTGTGGACTTAGTGAAGAAGAACCCTGCTCCGGAGCTGGCCGAGGATCTGGACCAATTCACCGGTAACGGACCATTGTTTTTACTCCGTCTTTAAGTGCGTCACGTTTGAACCGGTCTTGTGGTGCGTTCAGGTGAGGTGATCCGGAACGTGCAGGAGCTCCAGGCCCTCACCGCCAACCTCTCTGCCGACAAAGAGCGGCAGAAGTCTGAGGCGAAGCACATCCAGCAGCAGAAGCAGAGGGCGCTGTCCGAGCTCTTCAAGATGCTCTCGGGAATAGGTGAGTTCTGTCTTCCACACAGAGAAAGATCAGATATTCCTTTATTGGTCCCACAGTGGAGAAATGCAGTGTCATCGTTGCACATTACAGCAAAGAAAGAAGGAAATAAGACTCACACATCAAATAGCCTATTAGTGTGTAAACATGTGGCCAAAAGTGGTACTGCAGCCTCTCCCACTCTCCCTGACTCAGGTTGCCAGATATGCAGACGAATCCAGCTGGGACCATAACAGCTGAATAGACAAGAGTTTAGTCAACAACAGATCTATAACCAACACCTTTTTCACAAAGATAGAAATCCTGGTTTTATTCCTTGTTTATTCCTTGTTTTATTCCTCGTTAATGATTTGAGAATCATAACAAGACCTTTTTTAGTTCTGCGCCACATGATACTTTACCAGTGAGATTAGCTCCATGCGGTGAATAAAATAAAATAAACTCTGGAGCTATAATTGCACTTGGTTCAGAGGTATTTACAGATGTATCGGAGAATATGAGCAGAATAAACATTTGCAATAAAAAAGGACAGGTAAAGATATCAGATGCTTTTGTTTTAGTGTCACATGACCAAAACTATTCCATGATGCTTATTTTAACATTTATAGTAAGGCCAACAGACTGATGGCAAGGCAGGTTTATTTGTATAACAGTTCATACACACCTGGACGCCTTCCTGGGGAGGTGTTCTGGGCACGTCCCACCGGGAGGAGGCCCCGGGGAAGACCCAGGACACAGAGGGACTATGTCTCTCAGCTGGCCTGGGAACGCCCTGGGGTCGGACGAGCTAGAGGAAGTGTGTGGATGGGGAATTCAGGGAGTCTCTGCTTAGACTGCTGCCCCCGCGACCCGGCAACGGATGAAGCGGAAGAAAATGGAATGGAGATAATACACACGGCAACTCAAAAAGCTGAACAAAACTCACACATTCATTAACATCATGACTAACCTCAGAACAGACGACTGAAGGACTGTGTGTTCTCCGTAGGGCTGTCGTATCGCCGCGGTCTGACCTGGAACAGGACGGCACAGCCCGAGCAGGTGCTGTGTGCGCCGCCTCTGGAGATGTCTGTGGCTCTGTCTTCTGTCGGGGACCAGGAGGAGAGCGAGACCAGGTACATGAGTGACAGTGACCACGACCATGACCACGTCCATGACCACGTCCATGACCACGTCCATGACCACGACCATGACCACGTCCATGACCACGTCCATGACCACGCCCATGACCACGTCCATGACCACGTCCATGACCGTGACCACGACTGTGACCACGACCATGACCACGTCCATGACCACGTCCATGACCACGACCATGACCACGACCATGACCACGTCCATGACCACGCCCATGACCGTGACCACGACTGTGACCACGACCATGACCACGTCCATGACCACGTCCATGACCACGCCCATGACCGTGACCACGACTGTGACCACGTCCATGACCACGTCCATGACCACGACCATGACCACGACCATGACCACGTCCATGACCACGTCCATGACCACGCCCATGACCACGTCCATGACCACGTCCATGACCGTGACCACGACTGTGACCACGACCATGACCACGTCCATGACCACGACCATGACCACGACCATGACCACGTCCATGACCACGTCCATGACCATGTCCATGACCACGTCCATGACCACGACCATGACCACGACCATGACCACGACCATGACCGTGACCATGACGACGTCCATGACCACGTCCATGACCATGACCACGTCCATGACCACGTCCATGACCACGTCCATGACCACGTCCATGACCGTGACCATGACCGTGACCATGACCACGTCCATGACCACGACCATGACCACGTCCATGACCACGTCCATGACCACGTCCATGACCACGTCCATGACCACGACCATGACCACGTCCATGACCACGTCCATGACCGTGACCATGACGACGTCCATGACCACGTCCATGACCGTGACTATGACGACGTCCATGATCATGACCACGACCATGACCATGACGGTCAGGTTTACATCTGAAACACGAGTGTGAGATGTACTTGGTCCTCTCTCTTTGTTTCTCTTTTTTTAGAGAGAAACTGTTTTTCTGTTATTTACATGTATTTACAGTTATTTACATTTGTGGACAGTGGTTGTCCTTGTTGATCGTTGGCTCCTCTGTGTTCATTATTATTGCATTTCCTGTGTTTAAACATTGATTCTCGGATCTATTGATGATGAATCAACAACTTTGTCCTCACTGCTGTTGTGATTTAGGGCTATACAAAAATACATTGAATTGAAATGTTATTGAATTGTCACAGATTTAGTCAATTGTTTAAATACATATTTTTCTCTCCAGAGTGTTTCCGGTGTTGGTGTCGGTCTTTGAGGGCAGTCAGAAATACTTCTATCGCTCCTGGGCCAGAAGAACCACTCTTCAGACTGCTCTGCAGAGCGCAGCAAAGGTTAGTACTGACGGCTCAGTGGCGCCTCCTGGTGGACTAATCTAATGGATTCATGGTTTTATGGTTTTTACAGGAGCTGGGACTGGGAAACATGGAGCGCTGTAAAGGATTCTCCTCTCACCTGTTCCATCTGCTGCTGGGACAAAGGCAGCGACTTGGAAAACTCACGGAGAGTTGGCTCCAGCTGAGGTCTGTGTTTTACATTCACATTTTATGATAAAAACGGGTTCTTTAAATATCTGTGTTTGGTGATTCTATACTGGGGGTTTACACTTGTCCTGGATCCAGAATGATAATTTTATATCCCCTTTAGTCTGGAATTCTCCAATCTGATCATGTGTAAAAATGGTGCCAAGAGAAGTCTTTGACAAAATGTCACTAAGCTTTGTGTGCGGATTGAATGATGTGGAGACAAGTGCCTTCTCCAATTTTTGATAAAATAGTACTTTCATTGAATCCAGAGCCTATACTTTGACTAAAGTCTTAGCCAACACCTCACTCTCTCTGCTCAGGCGACTCAGGACCAGTCTGAAGAACCTGAAGCCTCAGATGCTGAACCCGGACCCGGACTGCCCTCTGCCCCCACAGGCCTCTCTGCAGACCTGGCTGAGCACGGCCCACTCTCTGACTGTGCAGTGCTCTGCAGGACTGCAGCAGCTGTCGTGGCTGCTGCAGTCCTGCCCCGAGGAGCAGCCAGAGGAGCAGCCAGAGGGAGGTCTGTGCTGCCACTCTCCTCTGAGCGAGCAGAAGAAACCTGCCCAGAGTCTGAGGAGACGGGGGTCTGCAGAGTGGAGCCAGCTGCACCAACACGTCACTGAACTCTGGAGCCAAACGGAGAAACTCAAAGCAGATCTGAGCAGCGTGAAGCAGCAGACGTCAGAGGGCGTGCTGCACACATGGTGAGAGACTACTCTAATATTATTGATTTGTTTTGTTTGTTTGGATATGCTGCTACGGACTTTTCTCTTGTACATTTTTGAATAAGGTCATTTGGTTTGTTAAAATGATGTTATTATGAGATTACATGTGTGACTTCACATTATAAATACTGTATTTTAGAGTGAATGAGTTAAAGAGACTTTATGTGGACAGGACTCACCTGGACTCGTGCTGCTGTGCCTTCGAGCTCCTTAACTCTGTGGTGAGTGAGTTTCCTGTCGTGGAGCGGCTCTTCCATCCCTCACAGACTTCAGACAGAACCCAGCCTGCCCCCGCCATCTCCCACAGCCTGCAGACGCTGAGAGAGCAGGTGCAGGCGGCTTTAACGGACTTCACCACGTGGAAAACACAGCTGCTCACACTGGGAGCACAGCCTACAGGTGCGTGTCTGTGTCTGTCTGCGTGTGCATGAAAGAACAGCTCTGTACTTAACTTAAATGTAATTGTCAATCCTCTGCAGCCTCAGAGTCTGTCTTCACATCTGGCTTCTCTGCTGATCTGGAGACTCATATCAACACGGTGCTGTGTGCCGTTCAGACGCTGGTGAAGAAAAGTGGAAAGGAACCTCCTCAGGACACAAAGAGAGGTATCAGCCATAATCACCATCATGGAAACATTAGAAACGGAGAGAGGACTGAATGTGTTTTTCTCCAGAGCTCGCAGAGGCCGAGGAGCTGCTGAAACCAGGGCATCTGAGCCCTTTGTTGCAGGAAGCTCTGGACGCCCAGGTGGAGGCTCTGCGTGTGGCAGAAGTGAATTCGGGTCTGGAGAGATTTTTGGTCTGTCTCAGGACTCGCAGAGACTCGTGCCTCCCCACACAGACGCAGGTACCAGAGCAGAGAAGGGAGTATTAGTTACACAAATATAGTTTTATTATGTGGATGGTCTGTCTTCACAAATGTATCAGAAGGTCGCTTCAGTCCGAGAAAAGATATTTCATTTCATTTTCATTTCTTTATTAATCCATTTCTGGGTCGGGAGGCGGCAATCAGAGCTGCCCAAGTCTCATGGCACCAGTCCCTTTGATCCTCTGCAGGGGGTGGGTCAAAGTGGGGTTAAGTGTCTTGCCCAGGGACACAACGTCAGCAGACATCAATGGGAGCAGATGACATGGATCATGGTGGAATCGAACCCACGACCATTAGGTCCAAAGACTGAGCTACTGTCGCCCAAAAAAAGATATATTTTATGTATTTAGTTGTTTTGGTGTACAGTAGGTTTGTTGTTTTCAGAATGGAAACAAAACAAAAAAAAACCTTATTTATGTGATGCCAGATTGGTGAACGGTCCTGGGTTTGTATCCCGGTTGGAACAGGGCCTTCTCATGTTCTAACTGTATCTGCGTAGGTTTCCTCCAGGTACTCCGGTTTCCCCTACCTCTAAAAACATGTACAGTAGGTCTGTGCCTCCTGTACTGGCCCCTCCCATCTCTGTGTGGAGTGAGAGACAAATGTAACAACTGTAAACCAGCTTTGACTCTGGTCTGAGAAAGGCGGCACGGTGGCTGAGTGGATAGCACTCTCGCTTCTCAGCAAGAAGGTCCTGGGTTCGAATCCCGGTCGGACCAGGGCCTTTCTGAGTGGAGTTTGCATGTTCTCCCCGTGTCTGCGTAGGTTTCCTCTGGGTACTCCGGTTTCCCCTACCACTAAAAATATGTACAATAGGTCTGACATGTGCCTCCTGTACTGGCCCCGCTCCCATCTCTGTGTGGAGTGAGAGACAAGTGCCCAAAATTAACAATTGTAAACCGCTTTGAGACTCAGGTCTGCAGTGAAAAGGCGGTATATAAATAAAGATTACTTACTTACTACTATATAAATAAACAACCGGTTTCCCCTACCACTAAAAATATGTACAATAGGTCTGGCATGTGCCTCCTGTACTGGCCCCACTCCCAAAAATAACAATTGTAAACCACTTTGAGACTCTGGTCTGCAGTGAAAAGGCGGTATATAAATAAAGATTACTTACTTACTACTATATAAATAAACAACCGGTTTCCCCTACCACTAAAAATATGTACAATAGGTCTGACATGTGCCTCCTGTACTGGCCCCACTCCCATCTCTGTGTGGAGTGAGAGACAAGTGCCCAAAATTAACAATTGTAAACCGCTTTGAGACTCTGGTCTGCAGTGAAAAGGCGGTATATAAATAAAGATTACTTACTTACTACTATATAAATAAACAACCGGTTTCCCCTACCACTAAAAATATGTACAATAGGTCTGGCATGTGCCTCCATGTACTGGCCCCACTCCCAAAAATAACAATTGTAAACCGCTTTGAGACTCCGATGTGCAGTGAAAAGGCGGTATATAAATAAAGATTACTTACTACTTACTTACTACTATATAAATAAACATTACTTATGATGTATGTAGTATGAAGACAGTGAAATAATGACTGTTATTCACCTGTGAGTAAGACATAAGTTTAATATGTGCATTCATATGGTCTTGCATACATAGTTACTTTATAACCTCTTCTGTGCAGGAGTTGGGGCAGGCGTGCAGGATGCTGGTGCGTCTGGAGCCCATGTTGGACACTTACTCAGACCTGGTGCGGTTCTTCCTGTCGGTGTCGGTGGGAGTCCACAGGAGCACCGGGAAACTGCTGTCCGTGCTCAGCAGCATCTTCACGGAGCTCGCACAAAAGGTCAGAGCCACTAATCTCGCACACGCTAAACCAGGGATGTCAAAGTCCGAAACCCTAACACCGTGGACCAAATCTTATTTAATGATTACATGAATAATCCAATATATTTGTAGGACTCTGTCAGTAATATATCAAGTTTAAACATGTTTTCACCCGGCTCACAGACAAAACAAACTTTCTTCAAAGAGAAACCACATGTACGTTAAATTAATAATCCAATATTTTCAATACTGTGTGGGCCTGTTCTAATACTAATATCAAATATCACTCCAGGGGCCAAGAGAATCCATTTGACAAACATTACGAATGCTAATGTGAAAAACAAGTTTATCTCGTTCTATTCAGAGATTTCCAATGTCTCTTTGTCGGTAATAGTCTTAATTAACCTTCTATGGCTTTGTTACATGAACAAAAAAGTAGACTATTATTATCCATCTTTATTTCAGACTTAAATCTAATTCCTCCATATTTTAAAATGCAATTCTATAAACACAGATCGACAGGTAAAGGTCAGTCTGAATAATGTATTTGTTTATGAACGATTAATCTACATAGTAATCATTATGGCTAGAAAAATATATATACCATAAAAAAAACAGGTTTTTAAAGCTGTCTTTATCAATGACACGCTGGCAACAGTAAAATATAATTTATTTGACTCTCACTGTGTCTTCAGGTGAAAATGTTTACAAAACATGTAGAAATGAACAGAACATTTAACATTGACCCTTGTTCACAAACACCATTATTACAAATACAAATATATAAATTTATCTACAAAAATATAAAATGCTTGAACATTTCCAGTAGGAACAAGTCGCTCTAAAAGGACACATACAAATCCTTCAACACCAATATTGACCTCAACTCCATAATAACCAGATTTCAGTTCATTTCAAGTGTGGCTACTTAGTTTTCTACATCCTTTGAAGTTAATTTCAAAATAAAACAGTTTAATCTTAGCTTGAGCTATGTTGACACACTGTTGTATTGGACGGGTATCTACACTTAAGTATCTCATGGGGTCACTGATGCAGGAGGGTCTAAGGGCTGTGCTGGTGATCCAGGACAGAGCCATTGGTCCATAACGTCCCAATGTGTTTTTATCATTTCATTTCTGTTTGATTCTCTGATCTGCGTTGGAAGAATTTACCAAACCGAGATGAAACTGCTGTTGTGATTTAGCGCGAGACAAGAATACATTGAGTGAGGACTAATAGACCTCCTCATCTTCGCAGCCATAGTCTCCAATGAGTTTGAGGGCACTGACACACGGCTCGTCCTCCTCCTCCTCTTCCTCCTCTGTGTGGGGGTCCTCTGCCTGTGGGACCTCGGCAGGAGGAGGAGGCTCTGGAGGAGGAGTGGCCTCACGAGGAGCAGGCTGCGTCTTCTCTGGGGCTGTTACTGCGGGAGTCATTTGTTCGAGGACCACCGGAACTTTTTTCTTTTTGGTGGAGGCTGGAATAAGTGGGCGGAGCCTCTTGCCCATGCTGCTAGCTGTGGCTGCTAACCCTTTACTGTCTTTACTCTTGCGGCTTCTCTGTCGCTTGAGGCATTTCTTTTCAGGATCTGCGGCAGTGGTGAGAGCACTGTCTGCCGTCTCCAGGACAGCGTTTCCGGAGTCACTGCGGTTCAAGTCCCGCAACACGTCATAGTTTATTTTACTTGAGATCTTTTTCTTCTCCAACATCCGCTCAATGGCCTCGTTGGCCGTCTGTGCCTCTACCTGAGCTGGACGGCGTCTAGACTTCTTTGGCTTCTCTTTGTACGTGCCCTGTTCTTTCTCTTTCTGAATCCGCTCCTCCTTCTCCTTCTGCTCCTGAAGATACTCCTCGTTCTGTTTGATCCACAGTGCCGTCTTCACCTGCACTTCTTTGTCGTTCAGAATGTATTTGTCTATTTCACTGTCGTCGATCCCGTTCAAGTCCAGCTCTCCTTCAGACTCCTCCTCGTCTGGAAGTTTCTTGCTGGTCTCAGAGGGAGCACTGCTCAGTTTCCCGAGGAAGGATTCTATTGGTAAAGAGTGTCTCATAGGCCCCACTTCAGGTTCCTGGGGCCCGGCACTCTGTCCAGTCTCTGCTTGGATAACTTTGCAAAGAAAGTCCTCTGAAATATGCTGGGCTGCGACTTCAGGGTCTGGCTCTTCGGAGTCAGATATTACAGGCTCTTTGTCTTCAGGGTCTAGGTGCTTAGCGTAAGCTGCATAGATGCCCCTGAGTTTGGGTCTGCTCTTCTCAAGCTCAGTCTCTATTTCATCCTTGAAAACGCTGATCTCTCCCTCCACCGCCTCGTCCAGTTTCTTTGCCAGCTCCTGCTCCAGCTGCTGCATCTTGCTCTTGGTCTGCCCCGCTGTGAACGACGGCGGATCACACTCCTGCTCCAAGTCCACCTTCATGAACTCGTCGATAGTCAGTTGGCTCGTGGGTGTGTCCTCAAACTCTGTGAGCCTCTTGCGAAGCGTGGCCTGGCAAACCTTCACCACACTGATCACATCCTTCACAGTGCGGTGGAACTTGTGCATACGAGCGGCCACTAGCAGCGCTGCTCCACACAGACCTGAAGGCCGTCGCCCCGTGTGCATCCAGTCTCTCTTCATCCTCTGCACCAGGCGCAGGGCGGTCATGGACACTTGGTGGGTGTTCTCCCCAAAGTCCAGCATGTGAGCAAAGCGCGGGACATACAGACACGGGTCGATGGCAGGGGCGTTGATGCACAGTTCTCTCGCTAAAAGTAAAAAGGTTTTCCCCAGAATGTACACGTTGACTTGGAGCAGGTCACTCAGATCCAGCAGCATGTGTGGTGTGCCCTCCGTGCGACACACCAGGTACAAGCACGCCGCGATCAGGTGCTGGGTCTTTCGGCCGCGGGTCAACTGTTTACTGACCGCCATTTTAAAGAAGTTAAAAGCAGTGTCCAAGCAGTGCTGGTTCAGCTGCAGCTGGCTCCCCAAAGACTGGATCTGCCGCCTCCCGTTCTGCAGCGTCTGAGCCCGGGACTCTTTGCCCAGACCGGAGTGGAACCCGGAGCCCAACAGGGGGGTCTTGGCGGGACCCTGAGAGGACACGAACTGTCCGACCGCAGAGGAGACTCCCCCGCTGCCCTCGACAAACGTCACCTCCGAGACGATGATGTTGTCCTCAAGCACAGAACCGCAGGACGTGCAGACCGCGCTGCCCCGGGCCTGGTCGATGTCTATGTCCGAACCTCCGCAGGCGCGACAGGCGGAAGGAGCCATGGCTTTGTACGTGTGCGTGTGTTACAGCGAGAAATGCGTCGACTTTATAAAGTTTTTAAACGTAATAGCAGGTCCATTATTAGTAATAACTGAGGTATACTGCCAAACACCTTCATTTGCATCTGTCAAAACTTTACATTTGAGACCTCCTGCCCTCCGCTTTCTGTTTTGCTTTGACCGCGCACAATTTAGACGTCACTGGACCCAACCACTGCGTAATGGGGGAGAATGTCTCAAATATGAAGGAAAATAACCCAAATACGCGCTGCTTCACACCAGAGTGAGTCTATAAAATGGCAATAGGAATATTGATAGTTCATGTAATAAAAACACGTGATTGTAAATGATCATAGAAGTTATCGGCGGAATGGACTCTTCCAGCAGTGTAATGACGTCACACGTTTTTTTCCGCGGAAACAAATGTTTTAAATGATTATGAGGTGTTGGAATTTTGAAGATGGAACCATGGTTTTTAGGATTTTTATGATTTTTATTTAAATTTGTGATTACAAAACGTAATAAACATACCTATTTTTACTATTTACTATTTTGATTTATAGTTTTTGATGTTGCAATGTTAAACTGTGGGAGTGTTGACTGTTATGTAGTGATGGAGGGTTATAAACATGTGACACATTCTGCAACTGTAATTTATAATCACACGTTTGAATGGCCGATTAAACAGATATAATTAAATCTAATATTTATAAACTTGTATCTGACGAGAGTTTGAATTGTGTCCACAGGGGTTCTGCCTCCCGCAGGAGCTGATGGCCGGAGGAGACGGAGAAGGAGCAACACAATTTCATGACTATGAGGGCGGCGGTATTGGCGAAGGAGAAGGCAACAAGGATGTTAGTGACAAAATTGAAAATGAAGATCAGGTAAGAACTCGGAGGACGTCTCTCTCTCTGGTCTCGCTCTGGTCTCACTCTGGTCTCTCTCTTTTGTCTCTCTCTGGTCTCTCTCTCTGGTCTCTCTCTTTTGTCTCTCTCTGGTCTCTCTCTGCTCTCTCTCTGGTCTCGCTCTGGTCTCTCTCTCTGGTCTCGCTCTGGTCTCTCTCTCTGGTCTCTCTCTCTGGTCTCTCTGGTCTCTCTCTCTGGGCTCTCTCTCTGGGCTCTCTCTCTGGTCTCTCTCTCTGGTCTCTCTCTCTGGTCTCTCTCTCTGGTGTCTCTCTGGTCTCTCTCTGGTCTCTCTCTGGTCTCTCTCTCTGGTCTCTCTCTCTGGTCTCTTTCTCTGGTCTCTCTCTCTGGTCTCTCTCTCTGGTCTCTCTCTCTGGTCTCTCTCTCTTGTCTCTCTCTCTGGTCTCTCTCTCTGGTCTCTCTCTCTGGTCTCTCTCTCTGGTGTCTCTCTCTGGTCTCTCTCTCTGGTGTCTTTTTCTGGTCTCTCTCTCTGGTCTCTCTCTCTGGTCTCTCTCTCTGGTCTCTCTGGTGTCTTTCTCTGGTCTCTCTCTCTGGTCTCTCTCTCTGGTCTCTCTCTCTGGTCTCTCCCTCTGGTCTCTCTCTGGTCTCTCTCTCTGGTCTCTCTCTCTGGTCTCATGACATTATGAACAATGTCATTGTCAGACTTATTTGTATAACACAATTACAACACCAGCTTCACAAGTGCTTTACATGCACAAAAGAAAACTGCATACACACACATTTGTGTAAAATGTAAAACAGTAGAACTCAATTGGTGTTAAAAACGGGCACATGCAAAGGGTTTTCTCCAGGTGCTCCGGTTCCCCCTACCTCAAAACACGTACAATGGTCTCCCTTTTTATGTGTGTTTTTCTAACTTTGTTTCCACTGCACTTATATAAATATATTAAGCTTAATTTACAAAAAGAGAAAACCAACATTAGTTTTCATTATTACATTGCTTCCAAATTTAGACCCACATTTTTAACTCTACTAATGTGCTATTCAATGAGATTGGGTTTTTTCTTTAGTTTTTGCTGCATCTGCCGTTTTTATATACATCCTAGAACCCACTTTTCGTCTTAATGTCTTGAATACATGTATTTTTGCAGGTGGAAGACACTTTCAAGGAAGGACAGGAGAAGGAAGAACAACAAGACCAGGGGAACATTAAAGCAGAAGACAACGCTATAGAAATGTCGGAGGACTTTGACGGTCAGATGCACGACGGGGATCAAAAAGAGACCGGTACGAGTTTCTACGTCACAAAAATAGTGTGAAAAAGTGTCATTTAAACTGGTCTTTGCTGTTTTTATAGGTGAAGATGAGGAGTCTGAGAAAGAGGAGGAGGAGGAGGAGCTGGACAAAAAGATGGGAGACTTGGGAGACGGACAGACGGACACTCTGGATGAGAGGCTGTGGGGAGACGACCAGAGCGACGGAGAGGAGGGCAGTGACAAGGAGGAAGAGTATGGAGAGGGCATGGACCAGGTACGCCACACTCACAACATTAGAGAAGAGTTTTTCAACTTTTTTTGAGCCAAGGCACACTTTTATCATTGAATAAGTCTCGCGGCACAGCACCAGGAGAAATCAATCAATCAAATTTTATTTATAGAGCCCTTTACAACACTCAAGGCGACCAAAGTGCTTTACAAGAAAATCACATAAAATGCATTAAAAACATTAATTCAAACAAAAATAAAAATAGAACAGTAAGATAAAAAAAAAAGTGTTGCCGTGCTACTGAATGTTAAAAGCCAGTTTGAATAAATGTGTCTTGAGCCTGGATTTAAAAAGGCCAAGATCAGTGATGGTGCGCATTTCAGGGGGCAGCTTATTCCAGAGTCTGGGTCCAGCGACTGAAAAGGACCGATCACCCCAACGCTTGGACGACCTCAAGAACCTGCCCGAGTCACGAATAGTCAAAAGTTCAGAAAATGCAAAAACATATACTCTGTAGCCTATATTCACAATATAAAGTCCTTCTCATCAAAGTGCTTAAATCCAGGCCTTGTTTAATAGTTCTCAATACAATGAGTTAACAAGAGTTTGGCAATAAAGTGGCTCTATCGCGTCCAAATCTTACATTTCTCGCCACAATGCTCCCAGCTACTTGTTACCACCACCAATTCATATGTATAAAGTAATTAGCTCTCTGCTGCCACCTACTGATATGGAAAAGTATTACGTGGTTACTTCACAGTTCAAGACAAAGTCGGCGAATTTCTCACGGCACACCGGACAATATTATACGGCACACTAGTGTTCCGCGGCACAGTGGTTGAAAAACACTGCATTAGAGCAAGAGCGGCATGTTTATTCATATGGCACAGATGGAAACTGTTAAAGCTAAACACGATCCAACCTGGTCCAGTATGAGGCACTCAGGCTGTTTTTGTTTTTTATTTTCAGGGAGATTCTGAGCTTGTGGCCAAAGATGACAACTTGGACGCCGCTGAGCCCAACAAGGACAAAAAGAATCAGAATCGGGAGGAACCTGGGGAAGAGGAAGAAAAGGAGGAGATCCACGAGCAAGGGGACCAGGTCAGGACCGAGGACTCATTCAGGACCGAGGACTCATTCAGGACCGAGGACTCATTCAGGACCGAGGACTCATTCAGGACCGAGGACTCATTCAGGACCGAGGACTCATTCAGGACCGAGGACTCATTCAGGACCGAGGACTCATTCAGGACCGAGGACTCATTCAGGACCGAGGACTCACACAGGACCGAGGACTCACACAGGACCGAGGACTCATTCAGGACCGAGGACTCACACAGGACTGAGTGCACCTCTGTGTTCACCGCATAGACTGTAAATATTAACCGACGTAGTCACACCTATCTCCGCCGTTCTAACTAATTAGCCACAAATTGGGCTTTCATGGAGTGATTCAAAATGGCTGGGGTCTGGTCTCTCTCTCTGGTCTCTCTCTGGTCTCTCTCTGGTCTCTGGTCTCTCTCTGGTCTCTCTCTGGTCTCTCTCTGTTCTCTCTCTTGTCTCTCTGGTCTCTCTCTGGTCTCTCTCTGGTCTCTCTCTTGTCTCTCTCTCTGGTCTCTCTCTGGTCTCTCTCTTGTCTCTCTCTCTGGTCTATCTCTGGTCTCTCTCTGGTCTCTCTCTCTGGTCTCTCTCTCTGGTCTCTCTCTCTGGTCTCTCTCTGGTCTCTCTCTGGTCTCTCTCTGTTCTCTCTCTTGTCTCTCTGGTCTCTCTCTGTTCTCTCTCTTGTCTCTCTGGTCTCTCTCTGGTCTCTCTCTGGTGTCTCTCTGGTCTCTCTCTGGTCTCTCTCTCTGGTCTCTCTCTCTGGTCTCTCTCTGGTCTATCTCTGGTCTCTCTCTGGTCTCTCTCTCTGGTCTCTCTCTCTTGTCTCTCTCTGGTCTCTCTCTCTGTTCTCTCTCTGGTCTCTCTCTGGTCTCTCTCTCTCTCTCTCTCTGTTCTCTCTCTGGTCTCTCTCTGGTCTCTCTCTGGTCTCTCTCTGGTCTCTCTCTTGTCTCTCTCTCTGGTCTCTCTCTGGTCTCTCTCTCTGGTCTCTCTCTGGTCTCTCTCTCTGGTCCTCTCTCTGGTCTCTCTCTCTGGTCTCTCTCTGGTCTCTCTCTGGTCTCTCTCTGTTCTCTCTCTTGTCTCTCTGGTCTCTCTCTGGTTCTCTCTCTGGTCTCTCTCTGGTCTCTCTCTGGTGTCTCTCTGGTCTCTCTCTGGTCTCTCTCTCTGGTCTCTCTCTGGTCTCTCTCTCTGGTCTCTCTCTGGTCTCTCTCTGGTCTCTCTCTCTGGTCTCTCTCTCTTGTCTCTCTCTGGTCTCTCTCTCTGGTCTCTCTCTGGTCTCTCTCTGTTCTCTCTCTGTTCTCTCTCTCTGGTCTCTCTCTGGTCTCTCTCTGGTCTCTCTCTCTGGTCGGTCTCTGGTCTCTCTCTGGTCTCTCTCTCTGGTCTCTCTCTCTGGTCTCTCTTTCTGGTCTCTCTCTGGTCTCTCTCTGGTCTCTCTCTGGTCTCTCTCTCTGGTCTCTCTCTCTGGTCTCTCTCTCTGGTCTCTCTCTCTGGTCTCTCTCTCTGGTCTCTCTCTCTGGTCTCTCTCTCTGGTCTCTCTCTCTGGTCTCTCTCTCTGGTCTCTCTCTCTGGTCTCTCTCTCTGGTCTCCGGGATGTCACCAAACCTCACAGTCTCAACGAGCAAACAATCAATGGTGCAGCGATCAAAGTTAAGCAGAATCTTGGAGTTAGTGGTAAATTCTCTACGTTTTTGCAGAAAGTAGAGACCCTCTCGAGCTTTCTTAACGACCTGTGGGTGTTTTTGTCCCATTTCAGGTCGTAGTTTGATTTAACCAGCTTTATTTGGGAGGAGCCAAACAATAACTGCATCTAGTTCCAGTTCTGTGGAGTCACGTCTGTCTCTCTCTCTCTCTCTCTCCAGCGGGAGTTCGATGAGAATGAGGTGGACCCGTACCACGGACAACAGAACAAACAAGTCGAACCTGAAGCCATGGATCTACCTGAAGATCTGAATCTGGACCAAGAGGACGAGGGCGGAGAGAACAACGAAGGGGACGGTAGGACATCACAGGGAAAAGAAGGGAATATTTCAGTCACACACAGTCACACACAGTCACACAATCCTGACTTTGAATTGACCTTTGTGTTGACACATGTATACAGTTTGTAATTGACTGATATATTTACAGTTAGATAAATAAGGTTTTGTAAATGTATACACTGTTGGTGACTTACAAATACATTAGATTGTGTTCCTGTAGTGATTACCTTTGACTTGTTCTGTTGTATTTTGAACAGAGGAAAACCCATTAGAAATTGAAGACAAAAAACCTGGGGTGGATGAGGACGGTGAGAGTCGGGACGAGGAGAACAGCGGAGCCGAGAACTTGGAGGAGATTCCTGAAGAACAACCCGAGCCGGGAGCAGAGGAGGGACCACAGGGAGAGCAGAGCGAAGGGCCTGAGGAGGAGGAGGGGAAGCAGGAAGAGAAGGGAGACGACCAGGAGTCTGCGGAGAAGAGAGACAGAGAAGAGAAAGAGGAGACCGACCCGGCGAAGGAGGAAGACTCTGCTGCTCCGAACCTCCAAGGAGAGAAGGCAAAAGTAGACGCTTTTCAATTCTATCCACTCAAACAGAAGCAAAGAACCACATTTCTCAATAATGGTTGATTTTAGTGCTTAAAAAACCGTTTTTAGAGGATAAGAGTGAAGTCACGTGCCCATGTAAAAGTAAAGTTTAATGACAAAACTTGATAAATATCCAGGAAAAGCAACACTATTTAGATCAATCCAAGCTAAAAGTGGCACCGGGACAGAAGGGAATGCACTTTTAAAGACGAAAACATATCTGGAAACACATATGATGTATTCATTTCACATCTGCGCACATGTAGCAACAACTATTCACAGATAAAATACATGGATTGAAAATGGATTGGATGAAACTGTATCCACTTGAACGTTATCTGAAGTGTTGTATGTGTGCTCTGTCAGGATCAGGGGGAGCAGGACCAGGGGGAGCAGGACCAGGAGGAGGAGGAGCAGCTGGAGTCTGCTGAGAGAAGGGAGCACCAGGCCGATGGGCAGACCGGGGAGCAGAACGTCCAGAGTGAGACGGCGGTGGAGCTGGGAGGAGAGGCGTCTGAGAGGGAGCAGGCCAAGGAGGTGAGGTCTCTTCTGTCGCAGCCGCTCTGTGCTTCAGGCAGACGTTGATCCATGTGTCGTCCTCAGGAACACGGCAGTGGAGCCGCGGACGCCAACCAGGCTGAGGGTCATCAGTCCCAGCTCGTGGCACAGATGGCCTCACAGCGTCACACAGAGAAGCAGACACAGGTAGAGGAACTAATCTGCTTCTAGACCCAAACTTAAACTTAAACATGTCTGTGAGTGTGTGTGTGTGTGTGTGTGTGTGGTCGTATATGAAGCAAAATGTTCATAAAGACTGTACCTAATGTAGAGCTACAAGAGGAAGCCGGGTCAGGCCGACAACGAGCGCAGCACTGGAGACTACAACGAGAGGATCAACAAGCGTCTGAAAACCATAAACCGGTCGTCAGAGCAGAGAGACGCTGGAGCCGAGGGAGAGAAGCAGGAGCAGCAGGAGTCTGACCTGTACGAACACATGAAGCAGGGAGAGAGCTCCTACGACACGCAGACGTACGGTCAGTCCCGCTCTGTGCTCTTCATGATCACTCTCTTATCGTTACTGTCGTATTCACATCTGTCTCCTTTCAGATGTGGCGAGTGCGGAGCAGCAGAAAGCAGCAGGTCCACAAATGGAGCAAGAAAAGAATGATGAGGTTTCCATGGAGATGGAGGAGGAGGATCTTCAGAGCGCTGAAGTCCCAACTCTGAACCCAGACAAGCAAGACGCTAACAACAAACAACAACTACTACAACAAGGTAACACAAACAGACAACATGAGACCTGGGTCTTTGTAGAACTCTTCTTGACTGCTCTGCCCTCTGTGAAGGAGACCACAGTGAAGACATGGAGGTCCAGCAGCTCGGAGACGAACAGGAGGAGCAGGACAACTGGAAGGACAGGTCTTTATTCAACAGAGATGAGTCTAAAGAGAAGATGACAGAGTCCACCATCCACACTGTGCCTGAGTTACTGCTGCAGTCTGCTGAGGTATGTTGCAGCGACAGCTCTAACTAAAGCTCTGTCTAATGAGACTTTGTGTTTGCAGAGAGATGACAGAGATCCAGAGCAGATGAGGAGAGAGATGGAGCAGCTGCTGGATGTCTGCCACAAGCTTCCTCCAGGAAGTCCTGAGGAGGTAGTTCAGACTCATCTCACTGTGGCTCAAATGAAACTTAACTATGATATTGTGTTGTTTGTGTTGTCCAGGAGGGGGCAGCAGCGTGCCTGTGGCAGCAGTACCAGAGTGTGACCTCAGGTCTGTCTCAGCAGCTCTGTGAGCAGCTACGCCTCATTCTGGAGCCCACACAAGCGGCGAAACTCAGGTCAGTCTCACACTGAGCACAGTTACTAAGTATAACAGTTACTCCGTTATACTTTAGAACCAGAGCCAAGCAGGTACCAGTTAAACATGGTGAGTGGAAATGCTCTCAATCCGAGTAGAGCCGAGTAGAGCCGAGTAGAGCCGAGTAGAGCCGAGTAGAGCCGAGTAGAGCCGAGTAGAGCTGGGCAGTGGGAGACCGGGCTTTACCTTTGATCGTGTGTTTTCAGGGGGGACTACCGCACCGGGAAGCGCCTCAACATGAGAAAGGTCATCCCGTACATCGCCAGCCAGTTCCGCAAAGACAAGATCTGGCTGCGCAGGACCAAGCCCAGTAAACGAGAGTACCAGATCTGTCTGGCCCTGGACGACTCCTCCAGCATGGTGGACAATCACTCCAAACAGGTCAGAGCCAAAGGACCAGTGCTGAAAGGCTAACCATCAGGACAGGACCCACACCTGCTCAGAATGTGGCTCGGTTTAGTTTAGAATGTGTTCATTCCTCAATTCTGGTTTATTATAGTGTTTTTACAGGACAGGAGTGATGTCACATGCTTGCTTCTGAAGTTAAAGGAAAGTTAAATGAAAAACCTTCATAAATCCTGACAAAACGACAACATTTAGATCAATCCAACCAATAATCGCCACTGGGACAGAAGGGAACGATCTGGAAACAAATGTTTGGTTTTTATTTCAGACCTTCAACAATTATTCACAGAAGAAATAAAATACCTGGTTTGAAAGGTTTTGGATGAATCAAACACTAATATTATTCCAATCTTCTCTCATTGAATCCGCTTTAAGTCTGTTCAGAAATGACTCACTGGTCGTCACTTCTGTGCTGTGCTCCTCAGTCCTTTAACTTGTGATGCAACACTGACATTTCCCATCTGCGTGTTCCTCTCCTGTTGTAACATCTCAGCCAAAAGGGGTTCAGTGTATTCATGGCTTGCCCCTTGATGCCATCTCTGTGCCAAGGGGGTCCATAAACACAAGAGACAGACTAGTATAAAACATACGACAGGACACACACAAAACAAACTTGCTCCATCGTCCTCCCAACTCCTCCAGTGTGAAAGGAAACAAAAGCTTTGAGACAAGTAACAAAGCAGAATTATACATATTCCAACGACTGAGTAAAAATACAAAACATTTTCAGGAAATGTGGGGTGGGGTTAAGTGTCTTGCCCAAGGACACAATGACAGCAGACATCAGTGGGAGCAGTTGGAGTAGGTCTTATGGTGGGCTCTACCAACTGAGCACCCAAAAAAATCTAAATATAAAAAAAAATAGAAAGAGGCAAAGATAAAAACATGAACAAGGAGTGTTAAGGTGTAGAAATAACGAGGACCTAAATGAGCCAAATAATGATAAAGTTAAACGGGATTTGAACTGAAAGGCTCCGCAGACTTCTTCATTGATCTGTTGTGTTCCTCCTGGTGCCAGATGGCCTTCGAGTCCCTGTCCGTCATCATCAACGCCCTCACGCTGCTGGAGGTGGGACAAGTGTCTGTCTGCAGGTACGTCCAGTCTTCCTGATCTTCCTGAAAATGTGAGACAGGCTTCTCCTCTGACGCTGTTCTGTCGTCTGTGCAGCTTCGGTGAAGAGGTGCAGCTGCTTCATCCGTTCCAGCAACAGTTCAGTGATGAATCCGGGGCTCGCGTCCTCAGACTTTGTCAGTTCCAACAGAAAAAGACCAGGATTGCTCAGGTCCGACTTCACACGTCGTTTTTTATTTATATTATTATTTATATATTTATTTTATGTATAATAATTAGAATTTTTTAACTTTCTATTCTTTTTATTTTTTACAGTTTTTGGAGACAGTGACCAAAGTGTTCCTGACCTCCAGACCACACTCTTCAGCATCCACCAAGTCGGGTACAGAGTTGGTTTGTGAAGTCACTCTGAAGATAGTGTAGCCGCTAGTAGTGATAGCATAACGTTAGCCTCATGCTATCGCCTGCTGTCATTTATAAATTACTTTTCCAGCCCCTAAATCTTGTTATTGTTTTCATTTCGATGTCCCGCCCTCCACCGTTTCACCAATCAGAAAGTCTGTGATCCGGGCGCCAGAACTCACCGCGTGGAGCTAATCTCACTGGTAAAGTTCCATGTGGAGCTAATCTCACTGGTAAAGTACCATGAGGCGCAGAACTAAAAAAAGTCTTGTTTTGATTCTCAAATCATCAACGACAAAACAAGGAATAAAACCAGGATTTCTATCTTTGTGAAAAAGGTGTTGGTTATAGATTTGTTGTTGACTAAACTCTTGTCTATTCAGCTGTTATGGTCCCAGCTGGATTCGTCTGCATATCTGGCAACCTGAGTCAGGGAGAGTGGGAGAGGCTGCAGTACCACTTTTGGCCACATGTTTACACACTGCTCCTTTAAATATGTTTTAATGAACATTGAACCAGTCCTGGGCTTGTAGCAAACCTGTTGTTGTGGCGTCTGGTGTATTTGACTTTGACGTCGCTGTCGGAGGTTGGTGATGTTGATGTTGCGTCCACAGACACGGCGCAGCTGCTGCTGGTGGTTTCTGACGGCCGCGGTCTGTTCCTGGAGGGAAAGGAGAGAGTCTCAGCCGCAGTGAGAGCAGCTCGCAGCGCAAACATCTTCATCATCTTTGTGGTTCTGGACAATCCCAACTCCAGGGTACGCAACCACTGCAACTACTGCAAATACTGCAACTACTGCAACTACTGCAACCACTGCGACTACTGCGACTACTGCGACTACTGCGACCACTGCAACTACTGCAACTACTGCAACTACTGCAACTACTGCGACCACTGCAACCACTGCGACTACTGCAACTACTGCGACCACTGCAACTACTGCGACCACTGCAACCACTGCGACTACTGCGACGACTGCAACCACTGTGACCACTGCAACTACTGCAACCACTGCGACTACTGCAACTACTGCAACCACTGCGACTACTGTGACCACTGCAACCACTGCGACTACTGCGACCACTGCAACCACTGCAACCACTGTGACCACTGCAACTACTGCAACTACTGCAACCACTGCAACCACTGCAACCACTGTGACCACTGCAACTACTGCAACCACTGCGACTACTGCAACTACTGCAACTACTGCAACCACTGCGACTACTGTGACCACTGCAACCACTGCGACCACTGCAACTACTGCAACCACTGCGACTACTGTGACCACTGCAACTACTGCCACTACTGCGACCACTGCAACTACTGCAACTACTGCAACCACTGCGACTACTGTGACCACTGCAACTACTGCCACTACTGCGACCACTGCAACTACTGCAACTACTGCAACCACTGCGACTACTGTGACCACTGCCACTACTGTGACCACTGCAACCACTGCGACCACTGTGACCACTGCAACCACTGCAACCACTGCAACTACTGCCACTACTGCAACTACTGCAACCACTGCGACCACTGCAACTACTGCAACTACTGCGACCACTGCAACTACTGCGACCACTGCAACTACTGCAACTACTGCAACCACTGCGACCACTGCAACTACTGCAACCACTGCGACTACTGTGACCACTGCAACTACTGCCACTACTGCGACCACTGCAACTACTGCGACCACTGCAACTACTGCGACCACTGCAACTACTGCAACCACTGCGACTACTGTGACCACTGCAACTACTGCGACCACTGCAACTACTGCGACCACTGCAACTACTGCGACCACTGCAACTACTGCAACTACTGCGACCACTGCAACTACTGCAACTACTGCAACCACTGCGACTACTGTGACCACTGCAACTACTGCCACTACTGCGACCACTGCAACTACTGCGACCACTGCAACTACTGCGACCACTGCAACTACTGCAACTACTGCGACCACTGCAACTACTGCAACTACTGCAACCACTGCGACCACTGCAACTACTGCAACCTGCACTGCGACTACTGTGACCACTGCAACTACTGCCACTACTGCGACCACTGCAACTACTGCGACCACTGCAACTACTGCGACCACTGCAACTACTGCAACTACTGCAACCACTGCAACTACTGCCACTACTGCAACTACTGCAACCACTGCGACCACTGCAACTACTGCGACTACTGCAACTACTGCAACTACTGCGACCACTGCAACTACTGCAACCACTGCGACCACTGCAACTACTGCAACTACTGCAACCACTGCAACTACTGCAACCACTGCGACTACTGTGACCACTGCAACTACTGCCACTACTGCGACCACTGCAACTACTGCGACCACTGCAACTACTGCGACCACTGCAACTACTGTGACCACTGCAACTACTGCCACTACTACGACCACTGCAACTACTACGACCACTGCAACTACTGCGACCACTGCGACTACTGCGACCACTGCGACTACTGCCACTACTGCCACTACTGCGACCACTGCGACTACTGCAACTACTGCGACCACTGCAACTACTGCGACCACTGCAACTACTGCCACTACTGCGACCACTGCGACTACTGCAACCACTACGACCACTGCAAACATTAACAAGTGAACAAACAGACAGTGAAGTGTGACCAAAGACAATAAATGCACAAAGTATCAGCGAATGAAGAACTAAACTAATTATTGTTCAAGTTATGGTTAAAAAGTCAAAATTGCTAAAATTAGGCTAAATCTATCTTAGTTTGAGCACCGTCTGACTGAGCCTTAAAACAAGACAAAGCAAAAGGATGTTGTTTTAAAAAGATACACAAATGTCTCCTTTGAAATGAGGAATTTAACCTCTTTGTCCGTCGGAGAATCTGGTTAATACACTTGATCCAGGAAATTACTACCTCATATTTTATTTTTTATTTTTGCAGTGTAACAGATAATTGTCAGCTGTGTTCAAGACCAATTTCAGTTTTTTTCTTGGAACAGACACATTCAAACCTGTTCTTCTCTTGTCGGCGCAGGACTCCATCCTGGACATCAAAGTTCCCATCTTCGGCGGCGTAGGCGAGATGCCAGAGATCCGCTCGTACATGGATGAGTTCCCGTTCCCGTTCTACGTGGTTCTCCGAGACGTGAACGTTCTGCCGGAGACTCTGAGCGACGCCCTGAGGCAGTGGTTCGAGCTGGTCACGGCGGCTCAGCAGTGAAAGTCTGGACCGAAAGTCTGGACCGAAAGTCTGGACCCAGCGTCTGGACCCAGCGTCTGGACCCAGCGTCTGGACCCAGCGTCTGGACCCAGCGTCTGGACCCAGCGTCTGGACCCAGCGTCTGGACCCAGCGTCTGGACCCAGCGTCTGGACCCAGCTGCATTCTCTCTGTAGTTTTCTCGAAGGACTTGTTGAATTCCCAAACACAGATGAGAGAATAAAACGGTTCAAACTCTGGAAATGCAGCAATAAAAAAACACCAGTGAAGGCACCATACGAGCCCTCACTGTGGCCGCCCGGGAGGAGTCCAGGGGCCGCATAGAAATGTGAATCGGGCCGGATCTGGCTCCCGGGTCGGACTTTGCCCCGGTCTATGTTCGTGTGTGTGTGTGTGTGCAGGCGAGAGGTCACGGTCACAAATGTGCCTTTGAGAGTGAATGAAACATGTTCTAATTCTGAAATGTAAATGTTTTTTTTAGCACAGCCCAGTATGTGATTAAAGCTGGTGTACCTAACTTTCAAATCACTAAAAATGCCTAAATATGATCTAGTTCTTTGCTCTCCAAACAGTTCTGTGACTAGTTTCTGACACATCTTTTCAAAACAGAAAAGTCCAAAAGAGAGGCCCACCGTCTCTCGGCCAATCAGATCAAACGAAATACAACAAAGACGGCCAAAGAAGTATTATTCATGGGAGAGAAGTTAGATACCCCAGCTTTAAGTTAAAGAGCTCCTCTGCGTGTGTCGATCCTGTCTTTGACTCAGACTTTTGTAAATGAAATGTAAATCCAAAAGTGTCTGAAATATTGAAGAGGTCTTTGGAATAAACATGTGCCTGACTTTGACATTTGTTTGTGTTTGTTAACGTCTTGGGGCTGGGTTTGAATCCTGGTCTGAACAGGGCCTTTCTGTGAGGAGTTTGCATGTTCTCCTCATGTCTGTGTAGGTTTTCTCTGGGTCCTCTGGTTTCCCCAACCACTAAAAACATATATCCAAGGTATTCTATATCCTCCAGCTCTGGTCCTGACCAAGCAGAGCATCCACATCTGTGAATGGGTCTCGATCTAGAACAGACTCTTTATAAAGGTGCACCCGTAGGGAAATTCATCCTCTGCATTTGACCCATCCTGAGGCCACGAGGGCGACCTCTCTAAATTAGCAGGACTGTCCAGGGGCAAAGAATTCTGAATTAAAAACTGTTTTGACGGGATTTGGGCTGTTCAGAGGTTCATAATGAGCCAGACGTCCCACCACATCAGTGCCATAGATGGAATTTTGTGACACAATCAAACACAAAGTTCTGGTGAATATAAATAAAGTCATCAGCAGAGGTTGTGATCTTTACAATGAGGTTTAGCATGCCTGTATTGACTGAGCTGAAGTTGGCTGGATGACGCTGTGAACTAGTTTCTGATCTCAGACTACTTCAGGCTCAAACAGAGGGCGCCTAGAGGCTTTGCAGAACAGGTCAAATGCAGAACACTCTTTGGATTTAACTTGGACATGTGTTTAACATGTAGTTGCAGCCATTGCCCAGGAGGTGGCAGCAGAGGGCATGTCGTGTAGTTGCAGCTGTTGTCCAGGAGAGGGCAGCAGAGGGCATGTCGTGTAGTTGCAGCTGTTGTCCAGGAGAGGGCAGCAGAGGGCATGCGGTCGTGTAGTTGCAGCTGTTGTCCAGGAGAGGGCAGCAGAGGGCATGTCGTGTATCCGGCTCCGGCTGAAACAACATGGCGATCACAAGGTTACCCACCGCGGCGCTCTCCCTCAAACAGGTACAAACAACTCTATGATGGTCTGGGTCTGGGTCTATCTCTGGGTCCTGGGTCCTGGGTCTGGGTCCTGGGTCTGGGTCCTGGGTCCTGGGTCCTGGGTCTGGGTCCTGGGTCTGGGTCCTGGGTCCTGGGTCCTGGGTCCTGGGTCCTGGGTCCTGGGTCCTGGGTCTGGGTCCTGGGTCTGGGTCCTGGGTCCTGGGTCCTGGGTCCTGGGTCCTGGGTCTGGGTCCTGGGTCTGGGTCCTGGGTCCTGGGTACTGGTCTGGGTCCTGGGTCCTGGGTCCTGGGTCCCTGGGTGTCTGGGTCCCTGGGTCCTGGGTCCTGGGTCTGGGTCCTGGGTCCCTGGGTCCCTGGGTCCTGGGTCCTGGGTCCCTGGGTCCTGGGTCCTGGGTCCTGGGTCCTGGGTCCTGGGTCTGGGTCCTGGGTCCTGGGTCCCTGGGTCCCTGGGTCCCTGGGTCCCTGGGTCCCTGGGTCCCTGGGTCCCTGGGTCCCTGGGTCCCTGGTCTGAGCTGCTGACTGTGTCCTTTCTGAGTATATCCTCGGACTTTGTGCAGTTTCATGTTTATTGATATTTGGGAGAATGCAAGTGTTAGTTTTACAAATGTAGATAGTTAAAGCTGGGGTACCTGACTTTCAGACCACAGCAAAGTGAGTTCAATCCAAAGCAGTTCTGGTTCTGTTTGGGTCCATCCCGAGTTTATGGCATAGACTAAATATTATTATTGTATCTTTAGTGATGTATTTTCTGACAGACCTCACTCAGATTATCTATTTACTGAGATCATGTGACGCTTTTGGCATAACCAAAAGCCTCACATGATCTCAGTAAATAGATAATGTTTATTATAAATACACCAATACAGAATGTTGTGGTCGTATTTATTCAGACTTTTACACAAGAGGCTGAGTCTAACTATTACACTACTATAAATGTTTGTATCTGACCCTGATTGTGAGTTAAGCATAAAATAAAAAATAAAATGGCAACAAAATTGAATATTTCACTTAAACCTCGAACAAAATACTGAAGTTTTTACTTAGTCACTGATTTATACAAAGGTTTCATTCATCTCTGTTGTTTTATTTATTTATTTATTTTAGACTTTATTAAGGACTCACATGCAAGCACAGGATCCATAGCTAAGAATAATGAAAGAAAAGTTTAAAAAAGATCAGAGTTAAAACACACACAGAGAAGCAGTGACTCCAGAGCAAAGAAGTGAACCTGACTGAGCGAATGTAAGGACAAACCAGAGACTGTGCAGGACCATCAGGCACCATCACCATCGACACATGAACCGACAGTACCAGGAACGGAGCGCACCCTGCACTCAGCAGACATCTGACTGCACTACTGTGTCCGGGCTGGTGTTTTGGTCGTGTTAGGTCTCAGTTGTTAATCTGCAGAGCTGATGACCCAGCACACATTCCTGCTCCAGTTGTGTTTATGTGAACAGCAGCGAGACATGAAGTGGAGGGATTGATGGACTTTTGATTCGTAGGAGGCAGATTTTCAGATCTATGCAGCTAGAACATGAGACAGGCTCTTTAGCACTTTTATGTTTTAAACCCACTGTACGTTTTGAGCCCAAAACTTTTATGCTGCCGTCTTAAAATGAAATGACGTTTTTTTCATGTCTTTTGAGCACCTTTTGTTTGTTAGTTTATGCAGCGACAAAAAGTCTTGGGGATCTACAGGACCATGTTACGAACCATTCGGCAAGTCCCAGATGCAGCAGACCAGAAGTACCTGAAGGACTGGGCCAGAGAGGAGTTCAAAAGGAACAAGAACGCCACTAATCCGGTAAGAGTTAACTCTGATCCTCCTCAAATATAAAAACACTTTGGTTCTTGGGGATATTTACCTCCAGAAAATGATTTACAGAATATTGTTGACCATGTTTTTGTAAAAGGCACTTTGTTTATTGGTTGAAAACATAAATGACCCCTTGACCTCTCCTAGCGCCACCATTAGGCCAAACCTTTAAACCAGAATTAATTTATCTAGACGTTTTCAGACAGATCAACAGAAGGGACAACATCAGATGAGAATTCCTCAAAATCAACACAGTCCTGTCTCAGAAACAATCTCCTCCTTCACCGTCAAAGAGCTGTTCCAAAGCATCTTTCACAGTGAACCTTTTCCCAGAAGACATTTTCAAAGATGGCGGTATAATCAGAGCACAATGAGGAATGTTTGGATTGAGGACCCCTGTACAGCTTTAATGTGTTTTGTCAGAGATGAAGCAGACAGAGACGGATCGTGCTGCGCCAAACTCTGGGAGTTTATTTAAGTTTCTCTCAAGTTCCAGTGGTTTCCTTTGTTTCCTTCTCTCTGACTGAATAAAGGCAGTACACAGTTTATATAGTCATTGTCACGTCACACATGGAAAGACGTGTCACACAGAGACAGTCACATCAGAGTCCTGTAGAGTCCTGCACGTAGGCCATATTGCTATCTAATACTAACACTTTGCTCCTCCCTGACTTTGCATGAACTACCAATGTTCCTGCAGGAAAACCCGCCCGAGAGAGAGTGGGAGAAATCAGTTGTATTTTGGTGTGAGCACAGACGGAGTGTGTTTATGTGAACGGCAGAAACAAATCGACAAGTGCAGGGAACCACAGGTCTGTGTTCGGGTCTGTGTTCAGGTCTGTGTTCGGGTCTGTGTTCGGGTCTGTGTTCAGGTCTGTGTTCAGGTCTGTGTTCAGGTCTGTGTTCAGGTCTGTGTTCAGGTCTGTGTTCAGGTCTGTGTTCAGGTCTGTGTTCAGGTCTGTGTTCAGGTCTGTGTTCAGGTCTGTGTTCGGGTCTGTGTTCGGGTCTGTGTTCGGGTCTGTGTTCGGGTCTGTGTTCAGGTCTGTGTTCAGGTCTGTGTTCAGGTCTGTGTTCAGGTCTGTGTTCAGGTCTGTGTTCAGGTCTGTGTTCGGGTCTGTGTTCGGGTCTGTGTTCGGGTCTGTTCGTTCAGGTCTGTGTTCGGGTCTGTGTTCGGGTCTGTGTTCGGGTCTGTGTTCAGGTCTGTGTTCAGGTCTGTGTTCAGGTCTGTGTTCAGGTCTGTGTTCAGGTCTGTGTTCAGGTCTGTGTTCAGGTCTGTGTTCAGGTCTGTGTTCGGGTCTGTGTTCGGGTCTGTGTTCGGGTCTGTGTTCAGGTCTGTGTTCAGGTCTGTGTTCAGGTCTGTGTTCAGGTCTGTGTTCAGGTCTGTGTTCAGGTCTGTGTTCGGGTCTGTGTTCGGGTCTGTGTTCGGGTCTGTGTTCGGGTCTGTGTTCGGGTCTGTGTTCGGGTCTGTGTTCGGGTCTGTGTTCGGGTCTGTGTTCGGGTCTGTGTTCGGGTCTGTGTTCGGGGCTGTGTTCGGGTCTGTGTTCGGGTCTGTGTTCGGGTCTGTGTTCGGGTCTGTGTTCAGGTCTGTGTTCGGGTCTGTGTTCGGGTCTGTGTTCGGGTCTGTGTTCGGGTCTGTGTTCAGGTCTGTGTTCAGGTCTGTGTTCAGGTCTGTGTTCAGGTCTGTGTTCGGGTCTGTAGTCAGAACAGTCTTATGTCGACTCAAAGGGATGAGAAGCAAGTTCAGATTTAAAACCGTGCTTTGATCATCACATTGACTTTTCAAATGTGGCTGATGTGGTTTTTAATCAGCCCATATTAGACACATTTAGCATTTCATAATATTATTTTCATTTCATACTTAAAGTTAAAATGTCATAAATATGGTAAAAACTATTAGATTCCATTCGTACATTTCCTGCTCCCGACCACAAGGCGGCGCCATTCCACCTTTATCTCTGTGTCAGGACCATGTTTTTGCGAAGATATAACTTCTGCACCCCCTTGAGTCTCATGATGCAAGAGCCACATTTGTTTACAGCGATTTAGCTTCCACTGGATTGACTTGAAATGATCTTTGTCTTTAGGACGCCATTCGAATGATGATCACACAAGCAAATAATCACCTGGAAGACCTGCGCAAGACTTTAGCCTTGACCAGGTAGCGTCTGAGCTGCCGAGGACCAGGTGTAGCGTCTGAGCTGCGGAGGACCAGATGTAGCGCCTGAGCTGCGGAGGACCAGGTGTAGCGCCTGAGCTGCAGAGGACCAGGTGTAGCGTCTGACCTGCCGAGGACCAGGTGTAGCGTCTGAGCTGCGGAGGACCAGGTGTAGCGCCTGAGCTGCAGAGGACCAGATGTAGCGTCTGACCTGCGGAGGACCAGGTGAACCGTCTGACCTGCGGAGGACCAGGTGTAGCGTCTGAGCTGCGGAGGACCAGGTCTAGCGTCTGACCTGCGGAGGACCAGGTGTAGCGTCTGAGCTGCCGAGGACCAGGTGTAGCGTCTGACCTGCGGCGGACCAGGTGTAGCGTCTGAGCTGCCGAGGACCAGGTGTAGCGTCTGACCTGCCGAGGACCAGGTGTAGCGTCTGAGCTGCGGAGGACCAGGTGTAGCGCCTGAGCTGCAGAGGACCAGATGTAGCGTCTGACCTGCGGAGGACCAGGTGAACCGTCTGACCTGCGGAGGACCAGGTGTAGCGTCTGAGCTGCGGAGGACCAGGTCTAGCGTCTGACCTGCGGAGGACCAGGTGTAGCGTCTGAGCTGCCGAGGACCAGGTGTAGCGTCTGACCTGCGGCGGACCAGGTGTAGCGTCTGAGCTGCCGAGGACCAGGTGTAGCGTCTGACCTGCGGAGGACCAGGTGTAGCGTCTGACCTGCGGAGGACCAGGTGTAGCGTCTGAGCTGCGGAGGACCAGGTGTAGCGTCTGACCTGCGGAGGACCAGGTGTAGCCTCTTGGATGTGGAGCATTAAAAATATCTGAGAATCGATGAATCTGGAACTGGCCCCGGAGCTGTACAACCACAGACGCAAAAGCAGCTGTGAAATACGGGTCAAATGCAGAGGACTCATTTCCTACAAAGACAATAAATAAAACTATAGAAGCATCTTATTGTTGTAAAAATATATGCACAGGTTCTTTATTAATAAAAACATGTCTTAAGTTATTGTTCATTCACTTCTGTCGTTCTGCACATTCGAGCTTATTCTACTGTCTCAAAATACATTTCAAAACCTGTCAATACTTCACAAAACAACTAGAAACGTAACAGTTTAGAGTTAGCTAACTTCAGTCCTTTTTGCATTTGAGCGGAACAGTCACATGGTCCACAGCAGGAGGGTTAAAGGGCCAGTGCTGCTGCAGGTTTTCACTCCAAGTCCAAACTGCTGTTAGACTGTTGGTGATTGACATTTGTCATGTGTTTTATGGCCTGTGGTGGGACCAGTTTGACTCCCATAATCTAAAGCAGGAGTCCAGAAAAGGGCCTGGTGCCGCTGCAGGTTTTCATTCCAACCAAGCAGGAGCACGTCAGACTCCACATTCATTTGAGCAGCACAGGGCATAAAGACAAATTTCAAACAATAACAAAGGGCGATGCTGTGAATGTTACGGATGAACACGATACGAGCTTCAGTCTAAAAGAAGTTGGGACTTAACCTGAAGACCCGAGGAAATGGGTGCTCCTGCTCCTGTTTGGTCTGATAGAAAACCTGCAGCCACAGCGGCCCTTTGAGGAGCAGATGATCTAAAGTAAAACATACATGTACAGCACTGTCCTGAGTCTGAGGACACGTTTATCTGACACAGAACCAGTTCAGCTGCTGGACAGAACCCGGCTTCATAAAAGGGAAAACCATTGATTCTGTTCAGTATCGTGATATTTTGCGCACACACTTAAATATGTTATTTAAAAGGTATATGAGGATTTCCCGAACTTTAGGAAAGAACCGTAGTTTAGATGATCCTCCCATAAACCTTTCATGATTCTGTGATTCACTTTTGTGTTTTCCGAGTTTACGCTGGTAATTTACAGTTGAGTATTACATCCACAAGGTGGCGCTTGTTGCGGTGCTTTGTTTTCATGCATTCATTTAACACCATGTGCAGACCATAAACAGATCATTTAACACCATGTGCAGACCATAAACAGATCATTTCACACCATGTGCAGACCATAAACAGATCATTTCACACCATGTACAGACCATAAACAGATCATTTCACACCATGTGCAGACCATAAACAGATCATTTCACACCATGTGCAGACCATAAACAGTTTTGTAAAGCCTTTGAATAATGTGAAGGACTTGAATCTAACTGATACTCGACATGTTGCGATAAAGAAAGTATCACAATCTTATGGAAAGTCACGTTGCCGGTTCCTGCTCCGTCAGCTGCAGTGTTGGTCCCGGAGCAGGCTCAGCTCGTCCTCCAGGACCGTGATCCGGGTCAGCAGAGCGGCGCGCTCGGCCCGGGCCTTCAGCTCGTCCTGTCGCCTCACCTCCTGCAGCTTCCTCTGGTACCAGCGCTGCATCTGTGACGACACGGCCTCCAGCAGCTGCTGCGGCGCCGCCTCACTCTCCTGAGGCATCGGGGGCTCAGGCTTCACTTCCACGCCCTCTGGGCCTTTAGTCCTGCTCCTGGTCCGGTCCTGGCTCCTGGTCCGGTCCTGGCTCTTGGTCCGGTCCTGGCTCTTGGTCCAGTCCTGGCTCCTGGTCCGGTCCTGGCTCTTGGTCCGGTCCTGGCTCCTGGCACGGTGCTTTCGGACCCCCCCTGGACCTGAGCCGCTCTGATCCTTGATCTTTCTTGAATCCGGGGACAGAAGAGCGCGCTGCTTGGGTCTCACGACTGGATCAGAGGCCACACCCACATCTGCAAAAGAATCAACAACAAGAAGAATGAATCCAAAGGTTTTAGCGCATGGTCCATGTTTCCTCTGAACCGGGTCTCGGACTCACGGGGGCCCCTGGGGTCTGGTCTGGGTGAAGCGGGGCCACATTCAGGGGTCTATTATCAGGTGTTTGTGTGTAGTATTAACATGTGTCCACACCAGTGCAATTCTGTGGTTGTGCCACATGGTTTATCACCTGCAGATGAGTCCACATGGTCCTGAGCAGAGGCTGCTGGTGCCGCAGGAGCTCTGGAGCTGCTGGCTCCTCCTCCTCCTGCTCCACTTGCTGCTCCTCCTGCTGCAGCTTCTCCGTCTGCTGCTCCTCCACCCTCTGCTCCTCCTCCGCCCTCTGCTCCTCCTCCACCCTCTGCTCCTCCTGCTGCAGCTTCTCCGTCTGCTGCTCCTCCACCCTCTGCTCCTCCTCCACCCTCTGCTCCTCCTGCTGCAGCTTCTCCGTCTGCTGCTCCTCCACCCTCTGCTCCTCCTCCGCCCTCTGCTCCTCCTCCGCCCTCTGCTCCTCCTCCGCCCTCTGCTCCTCCTCCGCCCTCTGCTCCTCCTCCGCCCTCTGCTCCTCCGCCCTGTGCTCCTCCACCCTCTGCTCCTCCACCCTCTGCTTCCTCACAGAGTCTGAGTTCCATGTTCTGCAGCTCGGACAGACACCAGACCTTCAGCTCCTTCACCAAAGACGACTGTTTCCACGAGAACAAGACAAAAACAACAGTGACATGTTCTGCAGCTCACAAACCTCATAAGTTTCTTACAATGTAATCTTATTTATTTGTGTATAGCCGTATTGTCTGAAGTATTTACAGCCAACACTAGTTACCTGCTGCACATGGCTCTCCTGTCGCTCCCTTAGAGCCTTCTGCTCCATCCTCCGCAGACACCGGCTCCTCTCGGCCTGAACCCGCTCCAGCGTCAGCTTCTCCAGAGCTCCGATCTGGAACAAACCAGCAACACTTCTTTCAACTGTGAAAACCATTTTACATTATTTTCTGGATCCGAAAAGAAAGAACGTCGGGAGCAGTTGGACGTGACTCACACCTGGTGCTTGTTGCTGGTGTCGATCTGACCCAACTTTGAGTTCATCAGGTCCTGGACCGTCTGGATCTCAGTCTGCAGCTCCTCTTTAGTCGCCTGCAGCTGGTTTTCTAGTTTACTGATGAGAGGTTCACAACGACAGCCGCTCAGAGGAGCCTGCAGTGAGAGAGGAGTCAGAGGAGAGGGTCAGAGGAGAGGGTCAGAGGAGAGGGTCAGGAGAGGGTCAGAGGAGAGGGTCAGAGGAGAGAGTCAGAGGAGAGAGTCAGAGGAGAGAGTCAGAGGAGAGGGTCAGAGGAGAGGGTCAGAGGAAAGAGTCAGAGGAGAGGGTCAGAGGAGAGAGTAAGAGGAGAGAGTTAGAGGAGAGGGTCAGAGGAGAGGGTCAGAGGAGAGACAGAGGAGAGGGTCAGAGGAGAGAGTCAGAGGAGAGAGTCAGAGGAGAGACAGAGGAGAGGGTCAGAGGAGAGAGTCAGAGGAGAGGGTCAGAGGAGAGACAGAGGAGAGAGTCAGAGGAGAGGGTCAGAGGAGAGACAGAGGAGAGAGTCAGAGGAGAGAGTCAGAGGAGAGGGTCAGAGGAGAGGGTCAGAGGAGAGACAGAGGAGAGGGTCAGAGGAGAGAGTCAGAGGAGAGAGTCAGAAGAGAGTCAGAGGAGAGAGTCAGAAGAGAGACAGAGGAGAGGATCAGAGGAGAGGGTCAGAGGAGAGACAGAGGAGAGGGTCAGAGGAGAGAGTCAGAGGAGAGTCAGAGGAGAGACAGAGGAGAGGGTCAGAGGAGAGGGTCAGAGGAGAGAGTCAGAGGAGAGACAGAGGAGAGGATCAGAGGAGAGGGTCAGAGGAGAGACAGAGGAGAGTCAGAGGAGAGAGTCAGAGGAGAGGGTCAGAGGAGAGGATCAGAGGAGAGAGTCAGAGGAGAGGGTCAGAGGAGAGAGTCAGAGGAGAGGGTCAGAGGAGAGTCAGAGGAGAGACAGAGGAGAGGGTCAGAGGAGAGAGTCAGAGGAGAGAGTCAGAAGAGAGACAGAGGAGAGGGTCAGAGGAGAGAGTCAGAAGAGAGACAGAGGAGAGGGTCAGAGGAGAGAGTCAGAGGAGAGGGTCAGAGGAGAGAGTCAGAGGAGAGAGAGGAGAGAGTCAGAGGAGAGAGAGGAGAGAGTCAGAGGAGAGAGTCAGAGGAGAGAGTCAGAGGAGAGGATCAGAGGAGAGACAGAGGAGAGGATCGGAGAGAGACAGAGGAGAGGGTCAGAGGAGAGAGTCAGAGGAGAGAGTCAGAGGAGAGGATCAGAGGAGAGACAGAGGAGAGGATCGGAGAGAGACAGAGGAGAGAGTCAGAGGAGAGAGTCAGAGGAGAGGGTCAGAGGAGAGAGTCAGAGGAGAGGATCAGAGGAGAGAGTCAGAGGAGAGGGTCAGAGGAGAGACAGAGGAGAGGGTCAGAGGAGAGAGTCAGAGGAGAGAGTCAGAGGAGAGACAGAGGAGAGGATCAGAGGAGAGACAGAGGAGAGGATCAGAGGAGAGACAGAGGAGAGAGTCAGAGGAGAGAGTCAGAGGAGAGACAGAGGAGAGGATCAGAGGAGAGAGTCAGAGGAGAGAGTCAGAGGAGAGAGTCAGAGGAGAGGGTCAGAGAAGAGACAGAGGAGAGTCAGAGGAGAGAGTCAGAGGAGAGGGTCAGAGGAGAGGATCAGAGGAGAGAGTCAGAGGAGAGACAGAGGAGAGACAGAGGAGAGGGTCAGAGGAGAGACAGAGGAGAGAGTCAGAGGAGAGGGTCAGAGGAGAGGATCAGAGGAGAGACAGAGGAGAGAGTCAAAGGAGAGAGTCAGAGGAGAGAGTCAGAGGAGAGAGTCAGAGGAGAGAGTCAGAGGAGAGAGTCAGAGGAGAGGGTCAGAGGAGAGAGTCAGAGGAGAGAGTCAGAGGAGAGGGTCAGAGGAGAGAGTCAGAGGAGAGGGTCAGAGGAGAGAGTCAGAGGAGAGACAGAGGAGAGACAGAGGAGAGGGTCAGAGGAGAGAGTCAGAGGAGAGAGTCAGAGGAGAGAGTCAGAAGAGAGAGACAGAGGAGGGGGTCAGAGGAGAGAGTCAGAGGAGAGGGTCAGAGGAGAGGATCAGAGGAGAGAGTCAGAGGAGAGACAGAGGAGAGGGTCAGAGGAGAGAGTCAGAGGAGAGGGTCAGAGGAGAGGGTCAGAGGAGAGGGTCAGAGGAGAGGGTCAGAGGAGAGAGTCAGAGGAGAGAGTCAGAGGAGAGAGTCAGAGGAGAGGATCAGAGGAGAGAGTCAGAGGAGAGGGTCAGAGGAGAGACAGAGGAGAGAGTCAGAGGAGAGGGTCAGAGGAGAGGATCAGAGGAGAGAGTCAGAGGAGAGGGTCAGAGGAGAGAGTCAGAGAAGAGGGTCAGAGGAGAGTCAGAGGAGAGACAGAGGAGAGGGTCAGAGGAGAGAGTCAGAGGAGAGAGTCAGAGGAGAGAGTCAGAAGAGAGACAGAGGAGAGGTCAGAGGAGAGAGTCAGAAGAGAGACAGAGGAGAGGGTCAGAGGAGAGAGTCAGAGGAGAGGGTCAGAGGAGAGAGTCAGAGGAGAGAGTCAGAGGAGAGAGTCAGAGGAGAGGATCAGAGGAGAGAGATCAGAGGAGAGGATCAGAGGAGAGACAGAGGAGAGACAGAGGAGAGAGTCAGAGGAGAGAGTCAGAGGAGAGGATCAGAGGAGAGAGTCAGAGGAGAGGGTCAGAGGAGAGACAGAGGAGAGGATCAGAGGAGAGACAGAGGAGAGGATCAGAGGAGAGACAGAGGAGAGGATCAGAGGAGAGAGTCAGAGGAGAGAGTCAGAGGAGAGACAGAGGAGGATCAGAGGAGGAGAGAGAGAGGAGAGAGTCAGAGGAGAGAGTCAGAGGAGAGGTCAGAGGAGAGAGTCAGAGGAGAGAGTCAGAGGAGAGAGTCAGAGGAGAGAGTCAGAGGAGAGAGTCAGAGGAGAGAGTCAGAGGAGAGAGTCAGAGGAGAGAGAGTCAGAGGAGAGAGTCAGAGGAGAGGTCAGAGGAGAGTCAGAGGAGAGACAGAGGAGAGAGGTCAGAGGAGAGAGCAGAGGAGAGACAGAGGAGAGGAGTCAGAGGAGAGAGTCAGAGGAGAGGTCAGAGGAGAGAGTCAGAGGAGAGACAGAGGAGAGCAGAGAGAGTCAGAGAGAGAGAGTCAGAGGAGAGAGTCAGAGGAGAGACAGAGGAGAGAGTCAGAGGAGAGAGTCAGAGGAGAGAGTCAGAGGAGAGAGTCAGAGGAGAGACAGAGGAGAGAGTCAGAGGAGAGAGTCAGAGGAGAGAGTCAGAGGAGAGAGTCAGAGGAGAGAGTCAGAGGAGAGGATCAGAGGAGAGAGAGGAGAGAGTCAGAGGAGAGGATCAGAGGAGAGACAGAGGAGAGAGTCAGAGGAGAGAGTCAGAGGAGAGGATCAGAGGAGAGAGTCAGAGGAGAGAGTCAGAGGAGAGAGTCAGAGGAGAGGATCAGAGGAGAGAGTCAGAGGAGAGAGTCAGAGGAGAGGGTCAGAGGAGAGAGTCAGAGGAGAGAGTCAGAGGAGAGACAGAGGAGAGGATAGAGGAGAGAGTCAGAGGAGAGGTCAGAGGAGAGAGTCAGAGAGAGGGTCAGAGGAGAGAGTCAGAGGAGAGAGTCAGAGGAGAGAGTCAGAGGAGAGAGTCAGAGGAGAGAGTCAGAGGAGAGAGTCAGAGGAGAGAGTCAGAGGAGAGGTCAGAGGAGAGCAGAGTCAGAGGAGAGAGTCAGAGGAGAGAGTCAGAGGAGAGAGAGAGAGATCAGAGGAGAGAGTCAGAGGAGAGGATCAGAGGAGAGAGTCAGAGGAGAGAGTCAGAGGAGAGAGGAGAGAGGAGAGGAGAGAGTCAGAGGAGAGAGTCAGAGGAGAGAGTCAGAGGAGAGATCAGAGGAGAGGATCAGAGGAGAGAGTCAGAGGAGAGGACAGAGGAGAGATCAGAGGAGAGGACAGAGGAGAGAGATCAGAGGAGAGGTCAGAGGAGAGAGGTCAGAGGAGAGAGTCAGAGGAGAGAGTCAGAGGAGAGATCAGAGGAGAGAGTCAGAGGAGAGAGTCAGAGGAGAGAGTCAGAGGAGAGAGTCAGAGGAGAGAGTCAGAGGAGAGAGTCAGAGGAGAGACAGAGGAGAGCAGAGGAGAGAGTCAGAGGAGAGCAGAGGAGAGTCAGAGGAGAGAGTCAGAGGAGAGAGTCAGAGGAGAGAGTCAGAGAGAGACAGAGAGAGTCAGAGGAGAGAGTCAGAGGAGAGAGTCAGAGGAGAGGTCAGAGGAGAGAGTCAGAGGAGAGAGTCAGAGGAGAGGTCAGAGGAGAGAGTCAGAGGAGAGAGTCAGAGGAGAGAGTCAGAGGAGAGAGTCAGAGGAGAGAGAGCAGAGGAGAGGAGAGAGAGTCAGAGGAGAGAGTCAGAGGAGAGAGTCAGAGGAGAGAGTCAGAGGAGAGAGTCAGAGGAGAGAGTCAGAGGAGAGAGTCAGAGGAGAGAGTCAGAGAGAGAGGAGAGGTCAGAGGAGAGAGTCAGAGGAGAGAGAGGGGAGGAGAGAGTCAGAGGAGAGAGTCAGAGGAGAGAGTCAGAGGAGAGACAGAGGAGAGAGTCAGAGGAGAGAGTCAGAGGAGAGAGTCAGAGGAGAGAGTCAGAGGAGAGGTCAGAGGAGAGATCAGAGGAGAGAGTCAGAGGAGAGGGTCAGAGGAGAGAGTCAGAGGAGAGAGTCAGAGGAGAGGTCAGAGGAGAGAGTCAGAGGAGAGAGTCAGAGGAGAGAGTCAGAGGAGAGAGTCAGAGGAGAGAGTCAGAGGAGAGAGTCAGAGGAGAGAGTCAGAGGAGAGAGTCAGAGGAGAGAGTCAGAGGAGAGGTCAGAGGAGAGAGTCAGAGGAGAGAGTCAGAGGAGAGAGTCAGAGGAGAGAGAGAGAGGAGAGAGTCAGAGGAGAGAGTCAGAGGAGAGAGTCAGAGGAGAGAGTCAGAGGAGAGGTCAGAGGAGAGAGTCAGAGGAGAGAGTCAGAGGAGAGAGTCAGAGGAGAGAGTCAGAGGAGAGAGTCAGAGGAGAGAGTCAGAGGAGAGAGTCAGAGGAGAGAGAGGAGAGGTCAGAGGAGAGAGTCAGAGGAGAGGTCAGAGGAGAGGTCAGAGGAGAGAGTCAGAGGAGAGAGTCAGAGGAGAGAGTCAGAGGAGAGAGTCAGAGGAGAGAGTCAGAGGAGAGGACAGAGGAGAGACAGAGGAGAGAGTCAGAGGAGAGAGTCAGAGGAGAGAGTCAGAGGAGAGATCAGAGGAGGAGACAGAGGAGAGAGTCAGAGGAGAGAGTCAGAGGAGAGAGTCAGAGGAGAGAGTCTCCTTCAGAGTTCCACTGGGTTCTTATGCATTAACATTTGGTGCGAGACTTAAAGCTGTGGTCGTCTATTTTCAAAGCTCATGTAAAAATCTAAGACTTATTTCTGTCTGAGCCCAAAGGTCAAATATGACTCACAGGACTGTTGGATCCCGTCACACAATGACCTGCGGGAGATGACGTCGATTTATCCACAATAAACCACATTCTCGACACTTTTTCTAATCGCGACAACAACATTTCATCTCGAAACAAAACTTAGTTCCCGCTATTAAGTTTCAAATAAATAATGTTTAACTTTTTTCATCACAACAATTCTATTCACTATGATTTTTTTTTTTTTTTTTTTTTTTTTTTTTTTTGTTTTTTTTTTTTTTTTTTTTTTTTTTTTTTTATTTTTTTTTTTTTCTTTTTTTTTTTATTTTTTTTTTAAGCCTCGTCATACGGCATTACCAAGTTGTCGATTCGTCGACCAGAGCACCGGACAAAAATCAAAACAGACACGAGTGGTCTCTCTCTGGTCTCCTCTCTGGTCTCTCCTCTGGCTCGTTTCTGGTCTCTCTCTGGTCCTCTCTCTGGTCTCTCTCATGGTCTCTCTCCTGGTGCTCTCTCGGGTCTCTCTCTCTGTCTCTCTCTCTGGTCTCTCTCTGGTCTCTCCTCTGGACTCACTCTGGTCTCTCTCCTGGTCTCGCTCTCTGGTCTCTCTCATCTGTGTCTCTCTGGTGTCTCTCTGGTCTCTCTCTCTGGTCATCCTCTGGTCCTCTCTCTGGTCTCGTCTCGGTCCTCTCCTGGGCTCTCTCTCTGAATGCGCTCTCTGGTGGCTCTCTGGTCTCTCTCTCTGGCCTCTCTCTGGTTCCTCTCTCTGGTCTCTCGTGGCCTCTCCCTCTGGTCTCTCTCTGTCTCTCTCTGGTCTCTCTTCTGTCTCTCTCTGGCCGCTCTCTCTGGCCTCTCTCTGTACGCTCTCTCTGGTCTCTCTCTGTGTTCCTCTCTCTCTGGTCTCACTCTCTGGTCTCTCTCTGGTCTCTCTCTGGTCTCTCTCTGCCTCTCTCTCTGGCCTCGTCTCTGGCCTCGCTCTGGCCTCCTTCTCTGGTCTCCTCTCTGGTCTCTCTCTGGTCTCTCTCCGTGTCTCTCTCTCTGGTCTCTCTCTGGTCTCTCTGGCTCGTCTCTGTCCTAAAACAGTGAAAATAGTAAGTTCTCACCTAAGACAACATCTTAACATAAAAAACATCAAATATCAATATCGATTTCAAATGAGTTCATTCGAATCTCATTTAACATTCAGTTTTTATTTGTATAAATTGTATGAAATAAACTTTTAGCACAGGTACAAAAAAGCCAGAGCGTGTATAGCTTTCTTTCACTTTCAAAGGCTCATAATCGCACCTTTTCCCCGCGTGGCCCGGTTTTCAAACCTCTGCTTGCTGTAATTTTAATATGCTGTTTTTTGACGACTGAATGAAGGATTCAAACGTTTCCATGGTTACCACTTTGAATAACGTACATTTTAAACAAAGTCTCCTCCTCCACTCTACGATGCAGGATTAAAGAAATGTCTGTGATTCTTTTGATATAATTTTTACTCCATTTCTGGCTGACTATCCAGGAAAGCCTTGTTCTCATGTTGGGTTGTGCGACAGGATCCTTGGTTGTGTTTCTTCTCTAGATTGTGTTTCTTTCAAAGATCATTATTGACGTTCTCTCTGTACGGCAGCGCTGTTACAACGTTCCACAAGTCCGTATTCTCACTTGGCATAAAGCATTTTTTAAATAAACTAGTGGTTGTTTTTGTGGTTTGTAGCTGATTGACAAGGGGGCGGGGTCTAGCTATGATGTCACAGATCGGAAGATTCCGACCAACGGACGTTCTGTGAGGGCCATAAAGCCGACCATAGAGTGAAAAGTTGATGAGAAAATCGTCTAAAACTGCTGAAATTAGGCAAAACATTGTCTTAATAATTTGGGATTAGATCGATTTAAAGTTTTAAGACTTTTCAAGTGTATCTGTCGGCGCCTGCGATAACGGAGGCGTGTTCGAGTAGTGGTCTGTCGTAGTGACGTCAACTACTCGCCACGCCCACTCTCGTGTAATGAGCATGGGATCTATTATAATACGGGTATGAGTAGTAGTGAGTACAATCTATGCCCAATGAATTATGCGCAATAAATGAATTTTTATGGCGCATGTCATCTGTCAATATTATTCTAATGGGGAAATGGACGATTTTGTAAATATCAAGTATAATTTTGCCTACAAAAGCCTGCCATTACTTCAGACATCAAAATCAATAGGGATTTGAAGCAGCTCAGGACAAACGTTTAATAGAGTCAAATAATGCCAGTGCTGTATGTCTAATGTGGTACATTCATTTATAAAAGGGGCCTATGGTTGGTGGCTCAAAATCCTGGCTGCCCCAAGTGCAGTCTAGGTATGTTCTTGAGCAATCTGCACTTCACCCACATGTGTGACATAGTGAGAGACTGCATGGTGGTGGCCAATAGCACAGATTAGTAGCCTGGCATCCTCCAACCCACTGTGACACACGTGTGGAAATAAATGAAGAAAGTAGTGTGGCGTTTTGAGAACTTGTCACACATGAGGCACAACCCACCAGGATTGAAAAGTACAATACAAGTTAAAAGATATTATTACACCACCACCCACCACCACACACTCCTACAATCCCATGGAGTCGCCACATTACTGATGCATAAAGAAGATACATCATAACATTTTTGTGCCCAACTTTGGCCTTTGGGACAAGCAGACAGTCATTACAATTGTGTTTGTGTCCAAATTTGTATGTAGAAGAGGGAGATTAAACAAAAAGCACAAAATGTGTTTCTGGCATTTTATGTACAATGGCTTATTTTTATCGATTTGTGTTATCTGAATGGCTCTGAAATGTAACCACTGAATAGGATATTCAACACAAAACAAAATCTCTTTTATTATAATCATGAGAGAAAAGCTCAGAGGAAGAGAAGCGCCAATCTCCATTCTCTTGAAAGCTTTCAGCCTCCTGGCTGCCTCCTCTGTAAAATGCCTCACCATATCATTTGCAATCATTTGAAACTCACTGTCCATGAAATGAACAAGCACAGATTAGATTGTGCAGTGGCACAGTGAAATACTGCCTATCAATATTTAAATAATCTTACCATGGTTCACTCGACTTTGGCCCCTTTATGAATTTTAATTGGCCCTCTTGCAGAGGGCAGGTGAAATGCCTCGGCCAGAGTGTGAACTGTCACCTAGATAAGAGTAAAATGTGTTTACATTCACAACAACAGTTCACAAAACCAAATGCAGCCCTAAAAGGTGTTTGTGTCCGTTTAATATAATGTCAGTGACTTGCAGCTTGATGACTTTATGGTCCTCTGTACATCAACAATGTTTCAATGCAGAGTTTTAGTACAGTGTACGTCCAGGAATCATGTACCATGACATGATTATGTTTGAGGGGTTTCAGTGTTTTATGCACACTTTCCATTACAATAGTCCCAGTGGCCAGCCTGGTGGCGCTCGGGCCTAACTAATGTAAAACAAACAATTTAAAAAAAAATCAAACTTTAAAAAAAAATGTTTCATGGCTATACTTCCGGTAAGAAGCGTGTAGACCAATACCAGAAAGGGAAGGGGAGGGAGCTTGGGTTTGTTTTTTTTTTTCAAATCAAGTACCTCTCTGTCTCATCTTTCCTGACAAACTCTAGACAATCACTTTAAAGAACAAATGTACAATATTGCACAACTCCCTGGATTCGGAAGTTAAAACATAAGCTCCGTGACAAACAGGATGCCCTTTCAAGGGTTTTGCACAGTGTGAGCATTTGTGCTCTCCGCCAATGTTTTAAAACAGGTACACACGTGAGCGTGTTCCCCTGCTTCAGCACTGGAGCATTATTCCCATCACTGACAATGAGTCGATGCAACTGAAAAGCAGACGTAAACATCCATTTGATGCACACTCAGAAACACAAATATCTTTTGGAACATGTCATCCATAACTATGGTCAGTGAACTTCATGTAACTAGTTATAGGAAACATCGTGAGCTACATCACAAAATGCCTAACTAATTCCCAACTGTCTTGGAAAAACCTTAAGGGAGTATTTTTTCATCCTATTACCATTTTAAAAACGATGGCAAAATACATGGCAATATTAATATTGTATATACTTAGACTATGTACCTATTATACTATGTACCTGACATGTCATGGCATACATGGACTCTTAGAAAAACCCATACAAATTGCTTTCACTGCAATGTATTAGTGCACTTCTTAAAAAACATTTCTATCAGGGTAGGATGTGCATTTAATTCATTAATACACTGTAACTGGAGGGACGGCCTAAAAATAAAATAAAACACTTGTTGGTTGGAACACTTACTTGTTTGCGTACGTCTGGCCAGGTCTTATCTTCAACGGATATACTTGCTAAGTTCAAGTGGATTCAAAAATTCATGTATAGCGTGTCGGTAGTGACGTCCACTACCCGACACGCCTACTACTCGACACGCCCCGTACTGGCAAGCCGCAGACAGACCCTTCTCGAGTTTCTTCGCTGCGCCCAGAGCCTTCCACAGTAGTGAGCATGGAGGGTATTTTGGGCAGGCCCGTCCCAAGGGGGTGGCGAGGCCCTGTGCGAACCTCGAAACGCGAGGCCCCTCGCCCTGACCACCTTTTTCCAATCTGAGGAAAGTTTTTCCCTGTTATAATCTTTGACAGAATCCAGCAACCACCCGCGCGGTGCTTGACGAGATTCAGCACGCGCGGTAACCGAGTGTCTTCGCTCCTAGCAGCGTTTGGCGCGCTGCACGTACACACCGACAACGCACACACACTCTACGTTTGCAATATTGGTCGCGGTCTTTTTGGAGCTGACCTGACTCTTCGTCCGTGGCAAAATGTAGAGAGCAAACTCAAAAGAGTTGAACCAAAAGGAGTCTTTCTTCTAATAGTTAGATTTGGGCAAAATGCGGCCGAAAATGGCTAAGATGCGTTAGTCAATATTATCTATTTTTCTCATCAAATA